AACGTTGCTAGAGCTGTGGCAATAAACTATTATATAAACTATAATTTATATAATATATAGTATCACTTTTAAATAAACAGAAACATAAAAGGAGAATTCCACCAATTGTATAAGTCAATGGCTGCCTACAGGAAGTGAGCTTACCAGACCTCTATCTCGCTCCTCATGCTAACAGGATAATACACCCAAATGAACAGTGAACTGTCTGTGGTTAAGTTGCATTGTGGGCAATGTAGGCACCAGGTTTTTACAAAAAAGAATGCATGGAACTAAAAATTATATATCTTGTGTTCTTTTTGCTGCATCAATTTTAATACTTCTTTTTAACTGCTCATCATGACAATGTTACAGAAGGGCAATGCAAAGTCAGTGGAGTACCCCTTCAATTAACTGCATGTAAATTTTATGTTTTCAGGATCTTACTGACATTGTGAAAAGTTCCTCTGCACTTAATGAAAAAAGGAATAATCAGATACACATTGAAGTATCATCATATATACACTAGTACAATGAGGGGAAAAGAGCACAATTGACAGGGCGACAGATTTACGTGCGTGGTATCTTTTTGACATATTCTGTACTCGATGAAGACCTCTAATTCAGACGTGGTTTAATCAAGTCTTGTCTGTGTGTGTGTGTGTGTGTGTGTGTGTGTGTGTGTGTGTGTGTGTGTGTGTGTGTGTGTGTGTGTTGACATAATTATCATTCCAAAGCTACAATAAGTTATTGTGAACTGAAACAGGCTCATTTTACACATCACTAGTTTCCTTGTTTCTTTCAGGCAATAACTTTGATGAATGGGGGGGGGGACTGTGTTTGAAACAATAGAACCTGCAGAAACAGTTTATAAAATTGAACATTTATTCTTTATCAACCAAAGAACACTCAGCTACCAGGACCCCCTGGATATTTACAGCTGACCTTTCACTAAAAGCACATAAACCCAAATAATAGGTCCAGAAATAACGACTCTAAGATGGAGGAAATGCAGAAACAAAGAAATACAATGGTTACTGTGTAGATGTCAGAGCTCACACAGAGTAAACATACCTCCTTTTAACATTCTTTTAGGTGGCAGGGCTGGGACCACTCTGTAGGCAAATCTCTGAAGCAAAACCTCGTGGAAGACATCAAAATCGCTATATCGTCGGTAAACTGATATTTTATAACGCTGAAAAACAAAAAGCAAAGAGAGAAAATGATCAAAAAAAGGGGCAACATTAAGTTTTCTATTGGAAAATTTAGTCACATGGTTGAAATCAGTGCTTTTCTTTAGGCAGACTGCAAAACATACTGACACTGATTTCTGCAGCAGTACAGCCATGTTGTTAGTTCAACCCAATTAAATGCACACATAATTGAGAAATGGCAAGTTAAATGAGAAGATGTCACTAAATGTCATCAAAGTGAGGATAAGACAAGAATACTGCACCACTAGTTGAGGTTTTTCTAACACAGTCATTTCCATACAGTAGGATTTATGGGATTCCTTGCCTGGCTGGTGACCTGATACTCCACATGTTTGAGGAACAAGCCCTTCTTCTCAGGTATGAGCTCCACCTGGACTGTGTCTCGGGCCAGCAGTTTGTCCAGTGTCTGGGACATCGTCAGTACGTCCTCCTGTGCTGGCTGCATCCTTAATGCCCTCAGGTCCCTGGGCTCCCCGAGCTGAGGTTTTGGTAACTCTGTCAAGCACACAACCAGCACCAACTCCTAATATTTGTTTTTGATGAATAACAGATACATCCAGAATGAAATGAATTTCCTAACTGTCAGGAATGCTGATGTTAAAACCACTTTTGTTTTTTCAACAGCTCACTACGTGTCTCGCTCTATTTGTCTCTAGTACTGTGCCTGGTGCCCGTGTGAACTGTTATTCATCCATTCCTGCACATTCCTAGAAGGTCATGAATTTGAATGTGATGTACTGCGACAAATGCAGAAAACTTGTTCTTGTACAGACGAGGAAGTGGCATGCAGCTAGCTGCCATACTGGCCACACCTGAAATAACAGAGAGAGCCTTAAATAATCACAGGAGGTTGGGAATGGATCTAACTGAAGCCAGCATAATGGCTACCTCTATGAAAACCATAAAATTCCCCACTATCATCTTCCCACTGTGGACCTAGAGAAAAAATGCAACACTTAAACATAGCTTAGGCTTCTCTACCAAAATAAAATAAAACAAATGATGCTGAATTAAATAAAAATGCTCTCTTTTCTTCTGCTGCAAAAGAGACAAAAACTATGGGATGGAAATGTATATTTTTGTACAAATACACTAAATGAAGTGCCCTCCTGTTACTTTATAACTATTAGTATATCAATAGCAATGGGTGGGTGTATCCCAGTGGTAAACTATCACAGAGAACTACTATTATGAATGAAACCTTGAGTCTATGCGAGCTAATAAAAGAAGGACATTTGCCCTGTGCATTTGAAATATAACAGAAGAGGGATGACTGAAGTTGCCCTTAGACACCGAAAGGAATGATCAAGCTACTCATTAAGCAGAGGCTTTACTGCTCTCTGCCGTCACTGTAACACTGTCATCTACCTTGTATGCAGTTCTCCAGGAGTTTGGGGCTTGGTTGCTTTCCTTGCTGAGCAAGAGCAATCAAAGCGAGCGCTTTGTAGAGTGCCAACTTGCTCAGGAATCCATCTGTGGAGTCAACATGCTCAGCAATCTGAGAAGGACAAAGACAATATGACGTGACCGTCACCGTTTTTCACTCCAACGTCTAAATTCAACTGTGGTTAGCATTCCTCCATGCAAAAAGTGCTCACTAGACACAAAGGCGATGATATGCTGCAATGTCAGGAAAAGGAAAAATTCTACTGAACTATGAGCTGGCTCTGAGATAATATTGCACAGACTTTACACACTCAGAGAAATTGCATAACACTAGCCTACATCTCAGTGTTAAAGGAACCAAATCTAACGGCAAATTATTTAAAGCCCCTGTCTTTAACAGTCCGCTAGCCTACACAAAGCTTGTAACACCTACCTGTTGATAGGACGTTACACCTATATCTAAACTATCTGTATTGCCTAATATTAACACATAAAACACAATGGCTTATCAGAATCGAACAAATATTTGCTCAAGGATATCATATAGTGAAGTGTTTGTTTGATTTATGTATGTATTATTTTCATTAGAAAAACACAAGTCTCAGCATTAGTTAGCCTTAATTTGAAATTTTTAAAATGTTATTTACTGTTGTTTGTGCTGGTTGCTGCCTCTGTCATTACAAACTACAGTTACGTGGCAGCTTTTTATAAAAAGGTTGCATTTTCACATATTTGTCCCCCACAGTACATTAAAGTGTGAACCCCTCACCTGGCCTAAAACCGCCTTGGAGAGATCGGTCCTGTGGAGCAACCGCTGAAAAACTTCAACCTGCACTCTCTCATCTGTCCTACAGCAGACGGCCTCATATACTTCCCTGTAATAGGCAGGAACTGAGCCTAAAAGAGGAACAACATCTACATAGCATCACAACCACTCCAAGAGATATGTCATATGCAGCGTACTCCTCATGAAAAAAAATCCCCTTAATAGGAGGACCTTACTTCTCCTACATCAGTGGTACTCACTACTGAGGTTATCACTTTTTATGGGACTACTCATTTTATTTCCCCATCATATGACTTCATATCATCTATAGTCAGATATAGTCTTGCTCTGATAATTTAAAGGTTTTCCAAAGCTGTAATATTTTCAGCCACAATATAAAACATTCTCAGTACAACCTTAAGGGTGCAATGCAGAGAGATGATTTCAGTATATGCCTGCTAGTGTGCTGCCAAATGCACTCAACTGTTTTTTCACGTGGCAGGAAAAGAGCATCAAAACTTCAAATAAACCTTTTGCACCTCTGGAATTACCCTTAAAAGCAACATTCACAATAGGCAAGTCAAAACAGGATCAATCATTGAGGGAGGGGATTTAAGATGAAGCAACTTAATTCCGAGATCTTCATGTACTCTAAAGTTCTCATTGGTTAGTTCACATCGCGACCTCACCGAGCAGAAATATCCACATTTTTAAACATCTAAAACAACATTTGTTTTACCGGTTTGAGACCGCAACACCGAACAAAAGTGCAAAGTAGTTAGGAAATGATATGGCAACACTGTGGTAGGAAGACTAAAGAAGTTTCCGTACTGTACCTTCATTGATCTCTCCTGCCATGGTTAAGACTGTCATGTGAGCACAAGAGCACCTCCATGTGATTTCCTGCAAAAAAGAAAAAACAAGTAATTTATTTCTTAAAGTTGTAGTGAGCGCTGGTTAAAGTCCAAGTGTGGAGCAGAGCCGTATAACCTGACACTTACATGCACCGGTTGCTCATGAACGTGTCTTATCCATGTCTACATCTATAAATCCCGAAGATGTGAAGAAACGCTGGCTCTTGTGTTTATACCCCAGCAAGCCCCTGTCTCTGTGAACGAGCTGATCAGATAGTGCTGTCCACTCTTCACTAAATATTAAGGGAAATATTGTCTTATTTATGCCCGTTTATTTCCTGGTTTCACTTGTGCGTGTTAATTTGGTTTGATTTAATGTTCCTCATTCTTCAAACGCAAAGCCAACTAACGCTGCCTTCAAAGACCATTGTAAATTTCAGCTTCTCAGTTTCTTCTTCGTCGCGAGAATGACAGTCTACGGATTTGAAAACGAGCGGCACAACTACATAATGGGCATTTTAACATACCTGTTAAAGTTGCACACCGCTTTTAACACTTCACTGAGCTAGCTTCAAGCTTTTATCCGAAGTCACATCTCTAGAAACCCCCACGAATTCTTCATCCGAACAAGTAGTCCCAATGTATCCGACGCTCCTTAAACCTCTCATTAGCCCCAACCCTGTGATGGCCTCTGGGTGGCGCTACCGGGCCATTTTAATGCCGGTGATGTGTCTCTGTGTGCGGGCCGGGCCGGGTAAGCTGGCAGCTGGGTGAATGTCGTGAACAGTCGCCGTGTTTCCCCCCCACCACCACCACCCCCCCCAACCAGCCTCCCTGCGCTCGGTTAATAACTGGATGGAGGTTTTACTCGGAGGTGCTTGTTTGAGCTGTTGTGTTGGAATAAGACTACAAGAGATGAAGTGAAGAACCGGCAGCAGAACCAGAACCAGAAACAGGATGTAACTAACCGCAGAGCAGAATGTCAAGTGGAACAAAAGAGACTTCTGGTTGTTGTTCGCCTCCGAGTCTCCGCGGAGTCAACTAACCAGCAGCTACACCGGCTAACGCTAGCGACATTACGGGTATAACTTAACTATCTTAAAGAAAGAAGAAGAAGATCATTTATAAATAATTTAAATGGACCACGACCAGCTAACATTACAACACGGTACCGGGCCAGAGGCACACCGTTGATGAGACAGGCTGTCCGGTTAATAACACGCTAACTAGCTCGGCTAAGCTTCAGGTCGCTACTAGTTAATGTTAGCAACCTGCTAGCTATAATCAGCGTTTAGCCGTGCTTGTAATTTCAAATACTAAAACGATAGAAGAGCTTTTTTTTTTTTTTTTTTTTTTTTAATTATGAATTGATTGCCAGTTTAAGTGAATACTGAAATATTTTTCTTCAACTTTACCAGGTGGTAGTGTGTCTGCTTAGCTTGCTCACTTCGTTTCTCATGCTACATTGTTTTTGTCTTTCGTCCCGGACACAGACAGACTTTCTGAAGTGGATTCCGCTCTTGTTTACAGTTTTCAAGCATCCTTGCTTGCTCGTTTGGTGAGAGGATCTCATTGACATTTACTCGCCATGGCAGCAGTGGTTAGCTACTCTCCACCGTGGTGGGTGAACCTCCTACACAGACTTCCACATTTCAACTTAAAGTTCGAGCAAACAAGCAGTGATTTCCAACCAGAGGACTGGACATATCAACAGGTAAAAATACCTCACTGACCCCGTTTGCATCGTATCAAATGACCCCAGAAGTTGTGATTCTACAGAGGCCTACAGACATGTTTACAACCAGTGTTTGTTTCAGTTGTGTCCACGTTCAAGGCAGGATAATATCATTGTGTTCAATACTTTCTTTATGTCTGCAGCCTTAGATGTAAAGTGGAAATTGTCACTCCTTGTGATTGACAGATGACCTGTTTGCACCTGTTCTTTCTCTTCACCTTTTTATCCATGCCACCATCTGTGTGTAGCTGTTGCATCCGTGTCTTGACCTTTTCCAGACACCAACCAGCTGGCATTGTATAGTGTCACCCATGCCACCTAAATTGACCTATTTGGTCTAAATTGGCCTCAGTTGGTGTGCAGGTTATGCCTCTCAAGATCCAGGGATCTGGTTCTGCATAAACCCACAAAAAAAGGGGTATTTGTTTGTGTCAGGTGGGATCTTTTGAAGGACGTGTTGTCTGAAGTTAAGGAATACATAAACAGCAGATTAAACTGTTCATTCAACTTAATCTGTCATATAAAGACTTAATGTACCGACATCATTTGGCCCTAAAGTAATAGCGGTTATCTTTAATTCATTTATTAATGGACCCTATTTATGCTGTTCCCTTTTGAAAATGCGTCATTACTAAATGGCTGTGGAAGACTTGTAATGAGTTTAAAAGGCCACTGCAGGCGGAGGGTTGATTTTCAACAAAAGTGAAAAATTGGCAGACATGGGTGGAAGCCATTAGATAATGTTACTTCTCTTTTTCTGTGGAAGTATGATTCAGCAAATCAAGAAGTGGATCGTGGTTCCTAAGAAACAGGAAGACTTCTTTCAGACATGTTCCAGCAGCAGTGATGTGCTTGTGCACATGATGCACCGATATTCATGCTCGAAAATGAAAGTAATTAAAGGTGAAAAACATCCTTGTTTCACTTTGACTAACTTGTGCAGGTGTCAGATATTTGATGTCAGGTTTCATGGGGCCCACTTCTGAGAAAACATTTTAAGGAATATATTGTTAACCTGAGGTGACACTGGAGTTCATTGCTAAAAAGGGTCATCATTGTACCAGCTCACAGTTGTTATTGGGAGCCTTTTCCTGGTAGGATACAGGAAAGGTTCATTGGTGGGATAATGGTTGTTTGGCGCCCGGTGTAGCTAGAAGTTCAACGTAAACAACATCACTGTTACAAGGATAGGGATATTCTTTGGGAACGGTATAATCAGAGTAATGCACATTTTATTGCACAGGTATAACAGCTGTTTGAGGACATTATGTCACCCCCTACACACATTTATTACAACAAGAGCCAAACATAAGAGGTCATCATTTGGTCATCAAACTAAACCATAATTATTAACCCTCTGTGATGACAGACTGGTAATTATTGTCGATGCAGTGCCCTCACTCAGGCTTCAGGGGAAATCTTGACTTGTCCAGATGGCTGAGCTCTCAGTGGTGCTAACTATAGGACTACGTCACGATGCTGCAGCATTGGGTGCCTTTGAATTTGTCACTCTTACCTGATGCGCAGGTGATATGATAGCAATGCACCACAAGTAACATGTAATAGGATTATGGTGTTTATTCATGGATTGCTGTTGCACTCAGTGAACCCGATTGGGTTGAACTGCGCAAAGCAACATACGAGAACCAAGTCATTCAATGGTATTTGTGTCTGATTATCCAGTCTGTCATTTGTTTGTATCACAGTCAAGATTGGAACACACCAAATATTGTGTTGTCAAGACTCTGCTTTGAGCCTGCAATTGTTCAACAATTGAGTTCACTCACTGTCATAAACAAGTTGACCGCCACTGCATCAGGGCGTGTCAGTCACTGTGATGCATCGTCGCATGCAAAGCGAACAAATAGAACAACCCTGGGTTTTTACTAAACAAAAGTGCAGGATGGAAATCTGTCCCAGCCGCAAATCCTCAGGAGTAAACCGTGAACACAGAGGCCCTCTGTCTGACCTACATAGGAAGTGCTGCTCTTGTCTGAGAGGTTTGACTATGATAATGTATTGCTGTACAGCTAGCGTTGAAATTCTGCCACTGTATAATGTTGATATTGTAATATGCTGCAGATATTAACAGTTTTTTAGGAAGGATATATCTCTCCATTCTTCTTCTACTTTTGTACCAAATCACTTGAAAGAGGGCTTTTTAGTACTGTTGTTGTTGTTGTTGTTTCATTTGCCTCTAAACGATCAAGTTCACAATTAGTGCTGTATTTACTGTTCACAAATTAACAGGCTGTTCATCAAAATCAAAAGCACCTTTTATTTTGATTTTCAAACAACAGACTTAGATGAGACATGACACACATTGTAGAGATGTTTTCTCCTGATTATAGTGCTTGGGTGCTCCTCTCACTTGTGCACAAAACTTCCCTTCAGTTTAATGTAGGACAGAGATGAAAAAAATTGTAGCTCCTGTGTTGCAAATAGTATATTTATTAAAGCTTCAAATGCACACAAATCAATAAAGTAATAATGCAAGATATTCAGCAGTTAAGAAGGCAATGTATCTGAACGTCTGTGGTCTTCTTCAAGCATACTGTTTGTTGTCTCCCTGTGAGACACTTCGGTAGCCCACTATCCACATTGTTATTGATCTGAAAGTGGTATCAGCAATAAAGTTTCCATAACCCCATCCCTCTGTCCACCAGTCCATCCTGCTACTGGGGGGTGTGGCACTCGCCTGTCTGGCCTTGGACCTCCTGTTCCTGCTCTTCTATTCCATTTGTTTGTGCTGCCGGCGGAACAAAAATGAGGAGCACCGCAACGCTGACTGTTGCTGCACCGCCTGGTGTGTCATCATTGCAACACTTGTCTGCAGGTGAGTATAAGCACAGGATCAGAGTGTCATTCGCCAGTTGTATTATTAAGACTAGCTAATTTGTATTCACAGACCCAGAGACTAATATACAGGAGGGCAGGACATCGGTCAAACAACTGACCAATCGGAGCTAAATATGTAAATTATGTTGTCAGGCAAGAACTAACCTGAACCAGCCTGCTTCTCTGTGCCAAGGACACCAAACCAACCTACAGTAACTCCAGGAACATGCAGTTTTGTATTAACAATAATTAGCACAAATTCAGTAATTCTCCACATTTTCAGAGGTTTTAAATTTTGTCCAATCACTTCAATATTTGTGTATTAACTTGCCAACAAAAGAATATGCCTGCATATTTGGCAAATGACCTCAGTTAACCACACACAATGATCCCAGGTCAAATTAAATTTACAATTCAGTAAAATGACTTCTTAGTGTAGATCCAAAGGACTTTATTACCCTGAATTGAGTGTCTAAGGCAAGACTTACACCCTGACTGACAACCACAAAATTGGTGGATGGATAAATATGTACGTTATAAGCTTCTTTGTAAGCTAGAAAAACTACAGCTTACTTTAAAAAACTCCTGCTGGGTCTGTACAGCAATGCTGAGAGAAATGTATATTTGCACGTGTGCACGCTGAAAGCACAAAGACTATATAGGACTGCCGTATAGATTGGCTTCAATTTAATGTTTTGTTATTTTTATGTTAGAAGTAGATTGTGTGAGAACTGTACCATCTGGACATGCTTTCTATCATTGAACACTGCATTTGTTTCCTGTTTTCCTCCTCCTGTTGATGGGCCACTAGAGAGCCATCACAGTTGATTCAGAGTAGCACAAAGAGCTTGGGGACCTGATGAGTACCAGAACTGCATTACAATCACTGTATCTGTGTGTGCTTGCGCCCACGCACTAATGTGTTTTAGTTAAAGCAGGAAAAACTAGTTGTAGAGAATCATATATATCTGGGAGATGGTTTGTTTGTTCTGTTTTGCTTTGCTTTTGTTCTTTGACAGAGTCCATGCTTGGCATCATTGAACAAAGCTCTGCATCACTGTGATATTGGGATTATCTTCTTTTTCTCTCTCTCTCTCTCTCTCTCTCTCTCTCTCTCTCTCGGTTTCCCCAGTTATTTTAAGTGTTGTGTCCTCCAATATTGAAAGAGCAGTACAGAGTTTCCGCAGGTTCACATCACAGCAGGGAGGTTGGTTTTGTTTTTGCTGTGACTCCTGCCCCTGTTCACCTTTTTTACACTGCGGAGTGTGAGAGGAAGAGATTAGCAGCCCTCCAGGAAGAGAGAAAACCCATTGATTCTTTGAGTGCTGTTGGCTGAACACTGTTAGACTTGGTCCGACTTAGCTTGGAGTGATTCGATCATCATCCTATTTGATCAAATCCCTGCTGGGATAGGAAGGGAGTTAGCAAAAAGACCAACAGCTGCAACACAGGAAGAGATAGTGGTTCTCACTTGCAATTGCTTCTCAGAGTGCGGAAAGGGAGTTTATTTAGTTCTACATTTTCAGTTACTGAAATGTAGAGAACATACAAATCAATATAACTGTAGAATAGCTTTTTCTCTCTCCTATACACACACACATACATTTTCAGAGTATTTTAAAATATTGTAGAAATATTTTTTTGCCGTGTACCTATAGAAACTGTTTCCCATGCAGTTGCCTGAACTGTTTATCTGCAACCTGAGTCCTGTCTGTGCAAATGGGAGCTGATCGCCTGCCTCAGTACAGCCTTTGTCAGCCGTAGTGTGGGGTTTGGGGCATAGCTGGTCCATTCCTCTGTGTCTCCATGGTTCTGTATGGAGTCTTTCTGCTGGAGCTGAAAGGAGCCTGTTGACTGGGGTCTGAACCGACAGGGTTAATGTAGAGTTCACACGCCTCTCTCCCTGCCTCGCTATCCCCCTCACTCGCTCTCTTCTCTGTCTCCTCTCTGTGTCTTTTTTAGCTAATCCCTCCTCCTCACCACCCTGTCTCCCCTCCCTTCCTTTTGTCTCCCGCCAGCGCTGGCATTGCTGTCGGTTTCTATGGGAACGGCGAGACTTGTGATGGAGTGAATCGACTGACGTATTCCCTGCGCCATGCTAACCGCACAATCACTGGGGTGCAGAAGCTGGTAAGACTGAGAGCACACATTATACCAACACGTTTAATAATTCATCGTCCTTCTGCCACGAGTATTCCTGGTTTTCTCTACCACTAGAGCTGTGTAGTGAATCCCCCTTTTCCTCCCCCAAACTCCATCATGACCTTGTTTGTCCCTGTATTGGGTCTAGGTATATGACGGTACATCCTCATTGAACCAGACGGTAGAAGACAATCTGCAACAGCTTGAGGGCCAGTATGCGCAGCATGCGGACTACCTGTCCATCATCCAAAAGCTGCAGGGCCAGCTGGATGAGCTAGTCAGACAGATGGTGGAGATTCCCTTCTGGGGCAACACCAATATCTCATTGGAGGAGCTAGCTGTCAAGATTGAGCTGTATGACTGGTACAGGTAAGACTGATAGGGCTGTCCAAGCATCATTCAAACAAAGCGTGGTGAACAGATTAATAAATAAAACTTACATTCAGCTCCTCTCTGCAGCTGCAGAGTAAGGAGTGGCAGCAGTGCTGAAAAGCATCTTAAACAACAACAGACTATGATTCATGTGCTACATCACAATAATAGACTTTCAATGCAGACACACACTCTACACACTCTAATTCACTAATATACTAATTCATTTTCTTGTGAAGGCTTTCATCTCTGACTTCATATATTGTTGAAAAGTTGAAAGTTACTTTGTCTCTTCCCTGGTGAGAGTGCTAGCTGAGGCTGCTCTGTTGGATATGTTTCTGCATTAAAATCTCTGAGTGAAAGTAGGAAGCGGATGCAAGCACAGACAACAAGGAATGGGTCATACTAGTTCAGCATTTGCTTAGGCAGCTGACTTACCAAGAGTCTAAAACATGCGTTGAGTTTCCCATTTTGGTAAAAAAAAAAATTCAAGGGTGGTGGTAATCCCCCTTGGCCATACTGGGTTTGCTTACATATTTGCCTAATATTATAAATACGCAAATAGTTCACTGTGTTTTTTTATTGAATGTCACAGACTAACATGAATTCAAAGCAGTAAAGATATGAGATACACATTGTAACTGTATATTGAGGGGTTGCAAGGTCATTTCTGACGTCCAAAAAGCGGCTCAAATTGATACTTTCATAATAATAAAATCCAAGGACAATGTGAAAACAATGTGACAATGTGAAAGGGGTCTCTCGTTGAGATGCAGCAGCCTCCTGGCTTTGTAGAGCTTTATAGTGAGTTTCAGCTCATTGTTTAGCTGTCTGGCTCTCATAGTGTCATTTTTGGTCACAGCAGGAGCTGATTTTAGTGAAAAAAGCTCTAAAAGCCCACTGGTACAGTATCTGCTCTGCACCAAACAGTAGACAGACGGTAAGTGGGGAGGTGGTGAACATAGTGCAGCATTTAATCATAACAGCCAATAAGCAAAGCTAAAAGAGAGTGAATATTGGACTTACATTAGCCAGTTCACCATATCAGCTTAAAAGAGGAAGGCGTGTTATGTTCAAAACAAGTGGCTGTTCCCAGTGTGGCCAGGAAATCTGTAATTGCAGGTTTAATTGGAATTCTTCAATAAATTAAAATGCCAAAAAGAAACCAAAAATCCTTTAGACATCCTCCTTAGAAAACGATCTACCTCAAAATAATGTGTGTTTATAGAATAAGAATTTTGTGTTTGAGTTATTGAAATGCAGCTCTTTTTTTAATTGAGAGATGGTATGCTGTGCTGCACTTGGCCATATGTTGTTAATGACATTTGTCTTCACAGGTGGCTGGGCTACATAGGCCTGCTACTGTTCGATGTCCTCATCTGCCTTCTGGTGCTGTTTGGCCTCATTCGCAACTCCAAGGGAACGCTTATAGGGTGAGTCGCATCACAAGATCGCAGCCACAAGAGCACGTCAGGGAAAACGGTTCTGTCCTGGGAAATTATTTTAGCTGTCGTCACAGAATGAGAGGCAATTACTGTACACGAAGCCTTCAGCTGATCAGGGCCACCTTGTCATAACAGTTTAGTCAGGATGAATTCATGCTCTATAAAATATCAGCCCAGTCACAAGTCATTTAGCATAAGCGTCACACCCTGCTATACTAATGACACACTTAAATCTACAGGTTTGCCCTTATATTTTTGGTTACTGTTTCATATTAAATAGAGCTGTTCTAAAATGGCTATTTGCATTTTATAGGCACTAAAAATAATAAAGTAAATGCAAAAGAGCCAAAGAAAATATTAACATAAATCCCTCATATCATTTAGACCACTAAGTGTTTTTCCTATAATGGCAGATAAGAGCAAAGCATCTCTATGCCAAATATGTAATGAGATAATTAATTTGTTCATATTAAGTTACATACACAGTAATGGCAATGCTTGGAGTTCTCTCTGTGGTTCAATGGGCATATGTCAACACAGTGTTTGGAGATGAGATCAGTGTTTTACTTGCACTTAATGTGATGATTGTGAAGGCTTGACTCCTACTCAAGGACCAACTTAATTAGCTTAAACATATCTCCCTCTACACTGTATTAACTGTTGTAAATATGAATAGTTTGGCTCTAACACTGCAGATACTTGAACTTCTCACCTCCTTATGCTCTCCCCAGGGTGTGCTTTTTCGGGGTAGTGGCTCTGGTAATCAGCTGGGTCTCCCTGGGGCTGGAGTTGGCTGTCTCTGTGGTAAGTGTCTCCATCAGAGCATAATCCTGTTTTCCAGTTATAAATGCCCAGTTCATTACGTATAATTGGATAACACAATAATTTTCATGTGCACATTGACTGCAGAATTTGGTGTTAGGTGGGTATTTTATTTCTCTTAGGACGTTTGTCTGCATAGCTTTCAGCGACAGCATATTTTTTCCAATTGTTCCCAATGAGAAGAGAGTTTATGTGGCCGCCTACACCCAGCATTTTATTTAGAATATTCAGTTTTTGTTTTCCATCAGTCTGAATAATAAGTATGTTTGTTTCCTCAGTGTTCTGTCTAATACAGAATTCTTGTATTTGGTCGCATTACAATTACAGGGGTTTTTATTTTTCTTGCCACTCAGCGTTTTCCAGGAATCCTTAAGATTAATGGTGGTGAGACCTGCAAAATAATTGGGATTAGTTTTGTATCCACAATATTGCAGCCTTTGTTCACAGAAGAGCGAAGCAGCCAATTTGGCTACCTCATAGAGGACAAAAAAAAACACATTATTGATGCCTGAGTTAGTTTATGTGATTGCTCTTAGCTGAAATGAAAATCAGCCTGTCACATTGTAAAAGTGTTTTTGAAGCTGCAATCAATCAACGCGCTTCTAGTGTTGTGTATGTGAAGCTGTTTGACACCTTTGTTGTTAGTATGCAGTGAAATGTCACTACAAGTGTGTGTGTGTGTGTGTGTGTGTGTGTGTGTGTGTGTGTGTGTGTGTGTGTGTGTGTGTGTGTGTGTGTGTGTGTGTGTGTGTGTTCTTCATTTTTAAGTCTTTATTTATTTTTTTTTATAGACCTCCAGTGACTTCTGTGTTGCTCCTGACACGTATGTCACCAAAGTGGCAAACCAGTTTGGAGTCATCAATCAAGGTATGATTTGCATACAGAAAGTACTATTTATATGGCACTGAGATGACCATGTTGACAACTCGCACAACTCTTTAAAATGTTAAATATTAGTAATCTCTGCCTGAATTGTTTAATCTCCTCCCCCTTCCTGGTCTCAATGCTCTGATTATTGTGCAGCAGTGAGACGACATTGTTCCAAAGCGTGGGCTTGGTCTTGTCCACGGGCCATAAAAGCCTCTAAAAATTACTGCCACATCTGCAGCAGGGTCAAGAGGGCAATGGGCTTCCTTTTTAAGCAGTACAGAAGGCTCTCCTTTTGGTAATTGCCCAATCTGTCCCATGATGGGTTGTGTGTAAGGGGAAAAAATGATTGTGCCTCGGGTTTATGAGTGTTTGTGTGAGGCAGAGTGTATGAGAGAGATAAGAGCAGCGGAGAGGAGGATCAGAGACACCATATATTTTCTGCATCCGTCTTCAGTCGTTGGAAGAAAAAAAAAGAGAAGATGGTGCTTAGAAATAAAAACACAGAGGACTCCCTGCCTACTTGAGCTTCTTGTTTTTCATTTTGTCTTTGTTGTCTTCTCTAAAATATGATGGTTGCTCAATACACAAACCAAGCTTTTTCTTCCCGGTTACTCAAGGCAGAGCATCAGCTGTCATTTTGAACCACAAGCACCAACTCTATGAACTAAACCGTATTATGCTGCAGCCATGAAGCTGTATTTTGCCTCAGGGCTGATTCATGCAGTATGGGGGATTTCAGTTCTATTTTTTTCCCCTGTAACACATGTTCACTATTCAGCTGTTAAAATAAATATTTTTATACTTTGACAATTTGTTTAAGTTTATTAGTATTGTGATGATATTGCAAATTAATATATAGTATATTAATTGCCTTTACATTTATGTTACTTTTACCTGCAAATGTCAGCCTTGGAAAGGCAACATTTTACTCAGTTGTATTCTTTCCCTTTTATAGCTCACGCTTTGCTGAAATTGCACCAGACAAATCTCTGGATAGAACAGTGTGTTATTACTACAGTGGATTTATTGCTTTCCTCCCCTGGTTAGCTGTTATATTTTCTTGAACATGCATCATTTCACCAACCCTCATTGTTATTTTTCATTTCTCTGCTTCCCCCTCATTGCACAATTATGTCAGACACATGGTGTTAATCCAAACAGAGAGTGAGAGTTCAGAATCTGTGAAATCTGTCAGATGGCAGCTAGTGTTTCTCTGTTATTCTGATGGTCTTCATTGGAAAATACTTGATAGCAGCAGTGACAAAAATTAGCTAAGAAATTATGCAGGATTCTTCCTAGACAATGAATGTAAATTTAAAACTGTAAACCTGAATAACTCTGTCACTACTTAAATAACCATATTCAAGTATTAAGTCACATTAAGCTTGTTTTGAGGAGGTTAGTCTCTCTAAAACATTAGCTTGTTCAGTTTGGTTGACATCTGGTAACTAGCAGTTTCTCATGCTTGGAAAACATAAAACAGCTTGATAACAAAATACTCTGTTACCCTGCCAAACTTTTTCACCTGATGGCATAACATACTGCCAAATCTCTGTCCAATAAACAAGCTATCTTGTGACCGTAGCCGGAAGCTGTGGCTCATTGATAATCAATCTGATTGTGAAAAAAAACAATACCGTGGCCTTGTCCAAGTCATTATAACTAAAGTTTTGTCTGAGGTTTCATCACCGAGTCATGGGAAGAAGAAATTCTTAATATCTGCTACATGGAACATTGGAAAAATCAATGATAATATATTAAATTGTTTGATCGTTATGAGTCTTCTTTCAACCCACTGTATATTGGCAGCAAGATTTTAGTCTGTATATCAGCACAGTTCACACTGACACAGGAACCGAAACCAGCCCCATGATGAGGCATCAGTTGTTCCATCCATTACCAAAAGTCAGACTCCAAGAAATCTGCTCTTCCTGATCTCTGTGTGTGGGTGGATGTGTGACAGAAGCTTGCTTGATATGGGCTTCTCTATGCCGGAAATCCTCCTCCTCAGTTTGCTGAAATGTGTGGGAAACCAGCTCCTGACACAGCAGTGAGGGTGGACGTCACTTGCACCGTCTGTTAGGTCGGTAGTGGTGTTCTCACAGCTTGTATTTGTGGACATTGCTGTAGCTTTTAAGTCACCCGGGATTTCTCATCCACTCCTACTCACTGCTGTGTGTTGGAAGAAGTAGCTGGAGTGGGTTGTAATGGCAAAGTCCAAAACCCTAATTACAATCTGCTTCGATTCATGGTGTACTGTGAACGGAATACAAGTTTGGTCATGTTGTAATTTAACAATAACTCCAGAGATGATGTAACTGCTCTTTGTGCAGTAAGAAGGGTTATACCTAAGCCTCTCACAGGCTCTGTGTTCTGTTGTTGTATAAATGTTGCTGTGTCAAGGGAAAAACACATTTATACTATTACAGCACACGTGCCGTGAACTTTATTCTTTTGGAACATTTAACCTCAGAACTCAGGATTAGCTCAGCGGGAGCACAGTTACAGAAGCAGTCGAGCTCTAACAGAGCAGCAGGAAACACAATGAGACAGAGGTAGAAAATGAAATAGAAAGTCTCTCTCCGTTTGTTACTTGGCTATCAGCCTCGTTCCCTCAACAAAACAGTGTTGAAGCAGTGATTGTGTGAAGACTAAGCACAATGCAATGTGAAATAAGAGATCAAGAGACAATGTATTCTTTAATGATATAGGAATGAGCAGGTATGACTAAATATAATTGAATGGACTTTGATTTTAGTGCTTTTGGTCCTTACACAGTGTGTACAAAGCTCAGACCCGGCTCTCCCTGCCAGTTCTTCCAAGTAGTAAAATAGTGTACAGCTGCAAGCATTTTGTCAATTAATCCATTCATTGTTTTGTCAATAAAATGTCCATCTATATTCAAAAGTCACTATTTTTCACAATTCCCTAAAGCCCTACATCAGGTCTTCAAATTTTGTGTTTTGTCCAACCAACCGCTTAAACCCCCAACATATATTGTCACATGACGACACATATATTTTGGGGCCAATACCAATGTCAATATTTGGGAGCTTTAAAGAAGCCGATAATGATATATGGACCGAGTGGAATGTTTTACAGTGTAGAAATCAACTTGTTGGTGCAGCTTGTTGGACAATGATGGTGCAGTTTAGACTTCAGGAACAAAACGAACGTTAAGTTTCCTAAGCTTGGCTGTTGTTTTGGTGGGCTTCTTCAATGAAACTATTGGTCAGTTATTTGATGGACAGAAAATCAACCAGCAACTATTTAGATAGAGTAATCGGTTTAGTCATTTTTCAGGTGAAAATGTCAAACATTCACTTGCTCCAGCTTCTTAAATGTAAGCTTTTGCTGCTTTTCTTTTGTCATACTGCATGCGATATTGAGTTGAATATCTCTGGGGTGTGGACTAATGGTCGGAGTTGCTAACCCATTCTGTTCCTACTGTCCTTTTATTCACAGATATCCTGCAGTACTACCTTAGTTGCAGTTTGGAACAAACCAACCCCTTCCAGCAGGTTTGTTGCATATGTTATTACATTTGTTTCTGCAAACATCTGGAGTTTTTAACATGCTAAATCAAACAATTTACTCTTAACATGGATACCTATTAGCTGTGTAACTGGTAGCTTTACTAGCTCAACATTAAAGTGATGTTGATAAGACTCAGATCTCAGAAGTCAGTGTTATAAATGTATTCTCTGCATGATGTATGGCCTTGTAATTGGTAAGAATTCAAGTGGGCACAATGAGTCACTCCCATTGCCTTTTTCATGCAATAGTACAATATGTCCCATTCTGCCAGCAGGAAAACTGATGCAGAGCAGCTTTTCCTGTATGTCCGTGCTGATAGCATGTGCTTGCATCAGAGGAAGTGTGTTAGAAACTTAGAGAAGTAAAATGTCATTTTTACTGTGAATCTATAGTTTGCTTTAATGGACTACCTACATCTCATCTTGCAAACCGCATAAATAAATCAAACCTTTTGAGTGCTGTTGTAGTCCAGGCATCTATTGTTAGTACAACTGTAAATAAAAGGAAACCATATGGAAATACTTGTGAGATGTGCCAGGCTGCTACAGTATTCATACTTTATTTCAGAAGCTTTCCGGGAGCCACAAAGCATTAGTGGAGATGCAGGATGATGTGTCTGAACTGCTGCGCTCTGCCACCAGAGAGTATAAACAAACTAAGGTATGTTTCCAGCCCCATCAACACACTCTTTACTAGAAATGCCAAACTACAGGGTAGCTGTTACCGTAAACACCTGACCCCCCCCAGGCCACAAGCTGTCCTCTACTATCGTACTGTTACCGACAGAATATCCCAGTGAATGGGATTGGCGACCGACCTGCGGAGAAGTGAAGTGCACCTGTCCACATAAAGATCTGCTGACGGCCCACCTGGGACCTGCATTATGTCCATTTAGCCGCATTAGGCTTTCACTGGCCCTTGTCAATACAACACTGTGGTATTGTCCAGCGCTGGTCCTTACACTGTGTTGACAGAGGCACAAATGAGAGCTGACATTGGGAATAGAGAGTGGCATATTTCACTTCACATACCCACACAGAGAAATGTGCTGAGATTGTGGAAATGTTTATATCAGGCAATCAGACGTATTTTCCACTGTAGCTGTAATGAGAACTGGAGGAAGAAGGGAAACGGTCCATTAAAATGTATCATACATTCAAATCTGCTTTTTCAGCTGCATCTGCTGTGAACTGTTGTATATTGATGACAGACACATCCCTGTTAAATGTGTGTAGACTGGATAATCAGTGAATTTATCACTGTTACACAATACTTTTCACATGCCTCTTTTTATCTTATTCCTGACTGTTGATGCTATTTACAGGCAGGAAACTACCACTTAGTTGCATTTTGGAATGTAGACAGTGCAAATTATATTAATTAATTTTGTTTGTTTTTGATGAATGGTTTTGTCATGGTTGTGGCATCCAAACATACCCAAGTGCCAAAGGTGGATTTCAAGTTAAACCTTTCAGAATTGCAAATTTTGTGTTTTTTCCTAATTGATTTCCAGGGAAGTTTGGAAGAGATCCAGGGGATACTGAACACCACCGAGATCAGTCTACATCAGCTCACGGCCCTGGTGGACTGTCGCAGCCTGCACATGGTGAGCAGGCAGGAGAAGACTTACAAACAGACATTCTTACTGTAGAGTTGTTCCATGTCTGATGAAAAAGGGTCCTGGAGATTGATTCATTGTGACATCTTTGTAGTGCAGCTTAGTTGAATAAAGCAAACCCCTCCTTTATGCTTGTGCAGCTGACAACACCTGTCACCATAAATAACATTTGCCTTCTCATATGCGAGTTCTTGTCCAATTCATGCTGGCTATGTACCATTTATGAAGCTGCTAGAATGACAAGTACTTGGCTATTGCAGTGCCTTGGAGGATTGTCCCTCAGTGGCTTCCAAATTCCAAGTGCACACGTGCACTGTAGCACTTTTTCTTTTTGCTTTCTGCTCCGTCTTCTCTCTTAAACATCTACCCTGGTAAAGCGCCAACGCTTATTATTTCATGAAAATGAGAGTATCTTCAGTAGAATACGAAATGTGTGTCTGCTGTGCAGTGCATGCAGAATGGAGATTCTCAATCACGATATTGTGGAGTGTAGAGCGTCTTTTCAAACCTGAAACCCTGCCTTCTTTCTAGTTAGCCAACCCTGAGCTCATTGGTTTGACCTAGTTTAAATGAGAAATCACAGTGGATGCATTTTAAAGACCCTCTTAGAATCCACTTTTAGACCTTAAAAAAACAGCAACTCTAGCCTTTCACTACCTCTGCATTTTTGTCTTGCTCTTTTCTTCTTTGGTTCCCCAAATAGCTTTTAGATGTTTGAATGTAGACTCTGATCATAAAAGTGGTGTCTCCCCTTTCTGCAGGACTATGTCCAGGCCATGACAGGACTGTGTTATGACGGACTGGAAGGCCTCATCTACCTCGTGCTCTTCTCCTTCGTCACTGCTTTAATGTTCAGCTCAATTGTTTGCAGTGTGCCTCACACCTGGCATGCTAAGAGGTAAAAACATCCACTGGTCACTTATACACCTTTCAACTCACAGCCACATAGGGACCAGTGCAAAAGCTTTTAGGCTGAGTTTGTATGCAGGACTGTGTATACAGTGAGAAATAATTTAAGAGGATAAGCCTATCAATTAATTATGATTTTATAGCATCTTCACCACTTGTTTTACACGGCATGGGAATGAAGCCGACAAAGTCATTCAGGATAAATCTACACAGATAGGGAAACACAATTATTTTTGTGTAAAACTTGTGTTTGTTCGCTGTTCAAAGACATGCTGTTTACCACTGGGACGTGTCCAGAAGGCTCCAGCTGCTTCCTCAAATAGATTGCTTCCCGTTATCCCCCCTAATTTCGGCGAGTTGGCCTAAATCTATCATAACCACCACCGAAGCTGGTGTCTTTTTCTGCAGCTGAGGGGTGAAATTATTCTGATTTCTTTGTCCTATCGGCAACAGATAATGTTTTCAGGATGGATAGGGGGAAAGTGGTTTCCCAGGCACAGCCTGTCAGCTCAGCTGCACCACATAATTAACTGATCCCTCCTAACCATTGGGGGGCATGTTTATCAGTTTGATCTCAGTTGGAGCTTCCTGTTAGAAAGCAATGGCTTACATGCTACCAGCCTGTTTTTCTTATTGGTCCCTGCTAAGCTTGTTCTCTTTTCCACTGTTGTCATGATGCAAGCATACTCATTTCTTTTACAATATCTGGAATTAGATGAAGTTTATGATTAATATTCAAGGTGATCATTTCTTGAATAGTTTTAGTATTATTAATCATTTAATGGGTAAGTGACATTTCCTCTGACATGCATACTATGGTGAATAAATCTATTGTTGACTCACTGAATGAAAATCTATGATCTCATGGAATAGATATGCAGGAAAAAGCCTGTGGGATGAACACTAGGGGGAGACAGGCTCCATGATGTTGGTGTCATTGTTCTGACAGCACATGTTCAGTGCATTATTGTTATTTCACATACACTGTGGAGCTTCATTGTTTGAAAAGAATCAAGTGAAATCACATTCTTTCTGCAGAAGTAGCCTTCTGCTTTTATTTGACAAACTTGAACGAATGCATTTATTGTCCCGATAGAAAATTAGGACTCTTCCTGTAGAAACTGAACCAATTACATGAGGCTATTTTTACTCTTAGTTCAGTCCCATTAAGGTCAGTGGGAAAACTGCATCTTCTTTGCTTCACACAGCATAGAATTGCTCTTGTTTTCTCTCCCTCAGGCAGTGATGAAACTGAACCAAAATGTGACTGAGAATAAACACAAAAACGTGACCACGTGGCGCTTCTATGCTCCTCTTTATCTTCACTCAGATGGGACATGGGGTCCCTCTGGTGGTGGTGGTGGTGATTTTACAATGTTGTGTGATGTTTGCAGGAGCGACGAGGACAGTGAGGATGAGTCTCTTAGCCACGGGGGAAGGCAAAACCATGATAACCTGTACCGGGTCCACATGCCCAGCCTGTACAGCTGTGGCAGCAGCTACGGCAGCGAGACCTCCATCCCCGCTGCAGCCCACACCGTCAGCAACGCACCTGTCACTGAGTACATGTACGTAACTTCACACTGCTGTGAATCTGAATAGAGAGCTGCACTAAATGAAAGGCACAAGTGGTAGATAATTTATTTTCACAACCCAGCCTGGGTTATGCACAGTGTGGCTGATATTAGACACCTCATGTAGTCAGGAGCCAGCTAAGCCCTCTTATAGAAAGTCATGCAGTGGCCGGCAAATGCAGCTGTTGCTCCCCAGCTGTGATGGCTGTGAAACCCAAAGCCCCTCCGCCTCATGAGTGAAGCTCAGTGTTAGGATAACTGGGGGAGGGGATCCCCGTGTTTCTGCCTCTGTATCATAAGGCCTTGGTATGCAGAAAACTGACTTGAGAGTTAGTCATGTATACAGTATATTGTTTCATATCTTTAAAGCAGTGTGTGACAGTTTTATGCACTTCTTGGCTTGTTGTGTTTGATCTCACTGTGTTTAATTCAACAGGGCTCAGAACGCCAACTTTCAGAACTCTCGCTGTGAAAACACACCTCTGATAGGACGGGAGTCTCCTCCCCCCTCGGTAAGAATCGCATTTATGTATATTTTGTAAAAACATGAGAACTGTAGGGACACCTCTGGGTCATTCTGCAGCTTTTTGTGAAGGACTGACCATTAGCCCTTTTCAACCAAAATGTTGCAGGAACTATGGAACCAGAGGAACTAAACTCAGGAACTAAACTAGGAACTTTGCACATTCCTGTGTGCGTTTCCACCTCATCTGAGAACCTCAAAGATTAGAGAAATCAGACTAATAACGGATTTAAAAACAACAGCAGCAATTTTCAGACCTTTTTGATGTATGAGTTTGATGTAATAAATGTATCAAAAGCAGGAAGGAAAGTGGACTGAAAACGCCACAGTAGGCATTATGCGTGTTTGATGGTCATTTATTTCTGTTTTACGCCATAAAACCATCAGCAAATTGTTTTATTACTCTCCTTCACTTACTTTGTCTCCTCTTCGCCACTCTAGAGCTCGCTCTTGCAGCTTCCTGTCTCTCGTTCTCTCAAGCTCTCAGCTCGTTCACGCACTAACTTTGTTTTGAACCTTAATAAATATCAAGAACTGTCCACCCATCATCCTAATATTGATACTAGCAGCACCCAGTACTTTCTTGTCTTGAGAGTGAAGCAGTACACAAGTTGGAGTACTGTGTTTAACTGATCAGGAGATAGTCTGACTGTCACTAAACAATCAGAAAGTACTGCCCCCCCTTTTTTTTTTTTTTTACAACCAAAACTGTCCTACAGGAATTAAATTAGGCCCTGGTTCTTCTGGTTGAAACGCAGGTTTAGTTCTTGAGTTCCTCAAAAGCTTCTCGGTTCCCTGAGAGAGTTGCTGCCTTGTTAACGTTCTATTTAACAACATATAACCCTGATCTCTTCTGTATATCACTGTACCTGATAAGAACAGCATACATATTAACTTAGGAGCCACAGAAACATACATTTAGAAACCCGGATAAACATTATGATGCCATCTTGATATGATGGCATGCCTCTAACAGTATATAGCACTACTGTAGTATGGTAGGACATTAGTATTGGAATTGGGCAGCCAGTGAACCAGTATTTGGAGACATTATTCTTCATACAGAGCTCTTGTTTCTGTAAGCATACACGCTGCCATACAGTGAGTGACACGATCAATCTCTTCCAGCTCTAGCAGCACATATTTTATGGAGAGGGAGGCAAACCAACAATTAATTTCCATGCATCAGTAAAGTGTCAGATTCTCACTGGACATGAACTGAATGTATATCTTATATGGCAATGTTTTCTGTCTTGATACAAGTTTAAAAGAAAACAAAGAATCCCACATACTGTCTATCACTTGTACTCATTTTATTGCCAATGTTTGGTCCTCTTTCATCAGGTAAAGTTCTTGTAGTCAAACAGCACCATTCTTCCATTTTCTTTCCCCAAGTGAAAAAAGTGTTGAACAGTGTGCAGGATTGCTTTGTTTTAGTACAGAGGTGCGCAAGAACCTTTCTTCAAATTCGACTTGATACTGAAAGTTTTGCAGGGGTAGAAACTATATATGCAACAAACCTTAATCATCCCCTCCTCCCCCCCCTTGGCCTGAACCTCTACCAGACATCCTACCCTCCCTGGTGTCTGTGTGTCTGCCTGGACCTAGACGCTGCTTTGTGTATCTTCTCTATACTCTCTTCTTGTCGTTTTTTGTTTTTTTCTGCGAATCCATACAGTTGTATTTGACTGCCGCGGACAGTAACAGCGGTCACAGCTGGCAGTTAAAGCCTTCGGAGAGTTCAAGATCGTTTTGGTAACCTCATCTGCTATGCTAACAGGTACAAAACATGCCCGCCTCTTCCACCTGCTGGCCTGTTCCTCCTCTGTACCACCTCCCAAACCCCCAGCTCTACTCACCCTCTATTCAGGCCCCGCAAGGGCTGCTGGACCCCCCCCACCCTACCCCACTCCCCCTGTGTCCTGATTCTTGCTAAGTGTCCCACCTGGTGTCTCACCTGATGTTTGTTTCCTGTGGCCCTGGGCTGCATGTTCCCCTGACCCCCCTGCACCACAGATCTATTGGGAGGAACGTGTGAAGCTGTAACTCTGCCCTGGGGCTCACTGTGAAGTCAAATTAAGAAGCTGTTAAACTGTTTCACTGATCATGTGGATCTTCTTTGTCTTGATTCTTGGGTTTGAGGGTGAACTCACGGGGTTAAGAGTATAAAATATATGACGCTTACATTTTTTAAGCATTCAGGATTCAATTATGAATCACTGGGAATTTTCTCGTGTGGCCTTGTGGCAGTTTAATACAGCACAAGTATGTGTCTGCCGCTGTATTTGGTGGCATAACTACAAAATTAGCCTGATTGTATGTTCAGTGTTTTATTATAAACTCACACCACTGTAACACATATTTTATACTATTCAAATACAAATTCCTCAAAATAAGCATATGGTAGTAGTTGGAGATTAAAAATACAAACTTGTTTCTTTAACCTCAACAAGGTAAGTCGTGTGGTTTCATTGAGCCCATATTGGTCCCGATTCTCAGCTTTCATATCAAGTGGCTCTGAAGGGTGATCACAACATTTGAAAATGTTCCTAAAAACAACCAGATCAACTTAATGTTTCCATATGAGTTTGAAATGCAGCCTTTTTGTGCTTGTATGGCCTGTATTCCAAAATGCATGGATGCATCCTACATGTATATGAATGACCCCCCCCCCCTGCCAATGTGCAATGGGGGTAAACAACAAAAAATTAAACTGCCTCTGAAACCGATGTATATTTATACACTTCCTTGTACTCTGCTGCCCTTGTCCTCTGTAGCTGTTTCTGTGATGTTCTTTCTGTATTTTAATTATTTACAATCCCTTTAGATTCCAGCTCTCTGGACTAACTAGTAACTGGAAGGTAATCTGTAGGATTTTCTCTGATCTGATCAATGAGTTGTGTTCTGTAGTGCTTTGTCGTGCATGTCCAATATGTGTATTTTTATGTTCCTCTGCTGCTGCGGAAACAGAATGATTACCTTATTACTCGTCAATGCGCTGAGCCTATTCCAACAGAAATATCTTTTTTCAGACTTTAAATCCTGCGTCTTTCAATTTCAGTCATATAATAATATAAAAATGAGACAATCCTACATGGAATTTGTTATAAAGTAAATGTTTCCTTTAAAGAGTGAAATTCTGATTGATTCTCTCCGTAATTTCTTGTGTGTGTCATTTTCTGTCTGTTCTCTTCACAGTACACCTCCAGCATGCGGGCGAAGTACCTGGCCAACAGCCGGCCAGATCCCAACAATCCTCCAGCACATTAGACAACACTGGACTCATCCCGTCTGCAGCACTGACGTCTGTCAGCCATCCATTCATCCAGTCAGTCGCTTAATTATTTCTCGTAGATGGCTTAGCCTGCAGTCGCTCATCCTTAAGGAATCCTGCAGATCATCAAATCTCCTCTCTCAGTAGTCTATACAGTTTTGAAGTTCCAGTTTCCACAATCCTTGGCTGATTTTTATTACTGCAAGAATCTTCATTGGTGCTGGGAATTCATCTGAAACTACAGAGCCTGACTGACTTTTACACTCCAAACTAATTATTGTGTTTTGTTTTTTTAAATTTGTTTTACACCTACTCCACCATGACAAATACTGTGTCACAACTAACAAGGCATTGCATTGTTGAGAACTCTGGAAGTGCTCATTAGACTAACACTGATTTCTACTGGTTGCTGTTTCGTTTTGTAGTACTGTACTGCAAGCTCCCGTTGCTGTGGGAGACTAACAGAGAAATGCCTTACACATAAATATTAGAGGAATTAGAAATCAACTGGTTGCTTCACAACTGAGGTGTAGATTTCTCACACTCAACATAAATCAAACTGAATACATTTCACAGTGCAACATCTCAGTTCCTCAGGTTTTCTTTCTGCCCGCGGAACTTGAAATGCAAGTCTGTGTTTTGAGTCAGCCGGTCAGATTTGCGTTATTCTCCAGTTAAGGTTGCCATACTGTATATCACACATGCACATTAGCTTCTTTTTGCATTTAATGTTAAATCTAATGTCTGGGACCAGTTTTCCTGCCGTATTGCACGTCTTACAGGTCTGAAACTGAAATGTTTTTTTCTTCTCGGGACACTTGTATTTCCTGTGGCATTTTATTTTAAATACGTTGATGAGCCACTATTCCACAGCAGTGACTGTAACTAAGCTGTGAATTTGATTCTGGCACATGCTCTCAGAGGACTTGATGAGGACAAAAATGAGCTGTCCTTGAGCTAGAAATGCAGCTGTTTGACAAGAAGAGTCATAGCAGGAGAAAAAAAAAAGAGAACTGTAATGAGCTTGATGAAGAAGAGTTTTTGTACTACTGGAATCAGAAACTTTTTTACAGCCCTTTTTGAAGACGATGGTGAAGCAGAGGAGGACGGAACAACATTACTCCAGACTTTCTTTGCCTCTTCACCAGACTTCTTGTTATTCTCTCCACATTCCTGTCAAGTTGTAGAGCCTCACCTCCCCTAACAGAACCGGGAATTGTCTACACACACATCCCTGACTCTGATCGTCTCTACCAAATGCATACCGAGTTAGAAATTCCTTTCACTGATTATCTCGACCAGACTCTTAATGCAGGTTTACGTGAAAATATGCATATCGCAGTTTCTAAGAGAATTTCAAAGAGAAACATAATGCATTGGCAATGCAGTGTGTCACAAATGTGTTTTAGCATTTATAACAAAAGTAGATAAGAGTGAGTGGATGCTGTGAAGGGATCGTGATGACTGCTCTCTATAATCTGGACGTTGTCGGTGGAAATCTGGTGACTTTCCTGTTGAAACATGACATTCTTCAACTGTGGACTGCGATGTTTGTACTTCTGCCGCTTCAACTTGCTTCTCCTAGATGTGCATTTTGACCAGTACATGAGGTGATTTTTTGAGACTGTGCCGATAAGTTAAGCACAACTCTTTTACTATCTGAATATCTTTTTCAATGTCTTACTTGAGGCCAGTTTGTAAAGTTGACAGCTCTCGGTTGCCTGTGCAACCAAACGAGAAAATGAGCCTGACTTTTTCAAATCATTTATGCTCTGTAAAACATTATTACACTGATGCAATCTTTCTGTTTTTGGGTAGTAGTCATATTCTCTTTGTTGTTTGTAATGCAAGGCTGTTGTACAGATTATAAACATTTTACAAAATGAAGAAAAAAAAGTGACATTTTAATTTTGAATTTCTTGAAAGGCTTATTTCCCATTTTTTAAAGATTTTTTTTCTATTTGATTTGCTTGTAGGTTTTTATTATTTTGTTTTAGAATCTGTAGCAATCACAATGTGTTGCTTCATTAATGTGAATACAGTAAATAGATTTTAATTTTGAAAAGAATTGAGTTTTTTTTATTTCTGGAACATCACTGTAGATGTAATTTTTTTTTTTCTTTTTTTTACATCATTTTTGCAATCTCTAAAATATGTACATGTAAAACCTGTGGTTATATTGAGCTTGAATGCTGTGTTTTAAAATTAAACAAAGCTTAACTGTAGTTCAGCTGCTCATTGGATTGCGTAATTACATCCTGACAAGGAACAGACACTAGGTAGCAGCATAGCACCACCACTGTTTTATTATTGTTTAACAAGTAGAACACAGAAACCACAACTCTTTAAATAATATGAAATTATAATAGCCAGTATTGCACAAGAAAGGGTTTAACCAATACTAACAAACTAATAGTTCATTTTTTTGCTAATATGTTTATATTGTAGTAAGAAAATCTCTTGATACATTACGGCACATAGTTTCATAAGAACATTCATTTACAACAAGGACATACAGCACAACAAAACAGGACCTGAATGACAGAGATAAAACTTGACTATTTAAAACAATTACATTCCTCATGAAACATCTGAAGATGATCCATCTATTGTCCGGGGCCTGTATCACAAAGTCACCTCAGTCTGGCTCTCTTGGTGTTACCTGGCTTCACTGAGCCGAACGTTGAGGATCCTGGATAAACCAGTATCATGCAGATCCAGTTACAAGTGACATCGTACGAACAACAAATTAAGAATGAATTGATAGAAACTGTGAAATACCTGCGGGAAATAGGGCAATATAAGAATATAGAAACTCCACTTCTAATCCAACTCCTTTTTTAGTTTTTGGATTTACTTCTGGAGACAGTAGCAGTTGTATTTCTCCTAGAGATGCTACTTGTTTATGTTGGTGTTTGTCCCTTTTGCAGTGCAGTGACAGACCACTGGCCTGCATGCAGATGACTCTGAGCAGAGCAGAAAGCCAGTTTTGTGTTTCTGACCTCTCTGGGGCCGACAGCAGGCGAGAGGTCAGTGTCAGCACCGGGCCACCAGTCTGGTCTTGTCAACTTCCGTCATACCGCCAGCCAGCTGCTGTCGCACCCAGACACTGGCTTCTCATGAGGATGTCTGGAGGATGAAATGCATTATAAAAATATAGAGGGAGCGGACCTTCTTTACTTTAAAAACACACTGTCTCTTCTGAGTCTCAACATATTTGGACCATTCAGTTAAATTTTATTTGTATAGTGGCAAATTATATTCTCAGGACACTTTTTATGTAAAGCTGTAATATTCATTTATTTTTTATTCACTGAACTTCCGTCATTCATTAAAAATGTGGCCAGACTACTGAAATATTAAAATGCCCCAAAGTTTTTTTTTAAAGGTATTTTCGGTCCCAAAAGATGACTGTAGAGATTACATCATCTCCTGAGTCCCCTGCTGTTTATTGACAGGGCCGATCTAAACAAAGCAGTAAACAAAGCATGATGGAGGCAGAGAGGTTTTTACAACCCATCTTACACACAGAAATCCAGAAGATGCAAATGAAATTTCACACGGTCTCACTGTCGAGGAAATTGAATTACCCTGCTTGTTGCTGGACTGGAGGAATGCATTACTAATGCTTTGAGGTGAGGAGCTGAATGGAGAGGGAGGGGAGGCAGAGTGGGGGGGATGAGGGTGGTTCCTGCACCCTCTAAACCCCCCCAAAGACACTTCCTGAGACTGGCTGGGCTCTCTGCCAAGATGGTCGGACCACAGCTCTCCTTTTCCTCAATGCCAGGCAGCTGCAAGACGGCCAGGAGACACACGAGAGAGTTAAAGCTGCACAAGGCAAGACTTCATTTAAAAATGTAGCCGTTTTATCAGCCTAAATCACGGGGCAGGCAGCATCTCAGCCCTTTTTATTGAGACCCTGAAGGTTCTTACTCTGCAGATGAAATTCTGGTGAGAGGAAATTTCTCCATATCAGAGCATAAATCGAGCAAATACAAGTCATGTCTACAGTACATTACTTACCAGCATCGTCCAAAGTAGCATGCCATAAACACTTTGATGTATTTCCTACTTTTACCACTGTAGATTTAAGTCACTTATCTTTTTATTACATGGCAGGAAGTGCTTTGGAATTCCTCATTAGTGCATAAAAGCTAACTATCAACATCTGAGATCTCAAACAACAACCTTACATGGCTGTCGTGTTGTGAATAGCGTGATTTTGGTTCATTCTCGCACTGAAAAGTTGCAGTTGAGCTGCCAGATTTCAAATTTCTCACGAAAGAGGTTTCAAACCAGCGCCTGCTTTCAGTTAGCACTCAGCATTACCACTTTACTATAAGGTTCCTTTACATGACTCTGTGATAGTTTACCTATCTCGAGGAAGTTGATTCTTTATGAACAAACTTGATGCTTTGTGAAAAGGTTGGCAGTATTAAAAAGTATAGAAGATCTGTGGTCATGTGATTATTAATGTGGGAGGAAAGAAGTTCTGATAAACAAATTTGGATCAATATTGGACAAATTTTACCTCTGTTGATTTACCTCTGATAGACATCTGAAATATAACATCAAGGGGCCTGAACAAGGATATTTGTGTGCTCACAAGCCAAAAAGATGAAGAACCTCTGGTTTAGTCTTTAATAATATGTTGTATTTCATATGCTTGTCATATATTTCTGTATGAACAATCTTAATTTAAAAACTTAGCTGTAAAATAAATGTAATGAAGTATAAAAGTAGAATATTTCTAGTAGTATAAAGTACTGTTGCTTTCATCCCTGTCACTGCACACGGTGTTCACTTTTACTTCTCACTTCTCAACATGTCACATCTTGTCATCACAGGACAGATGAACACCTTTGTGCCACGTTTCTGGAGGGAATCCTGCTGCTTTGTTGCTTATGCGAGGGAGAGGGAGAGGGAGTCAAGGAAACAGGGTGCCTGGTTTGTCTCCTGTGTGGCCCGGGGGCTCAGAGGGAGGCAGCTGTGTCCTGGGAGTCATTGCTCACGTTATTCACACCTCACCTCCTCCTTTGTACACATCACCCAGACCAGTCAGAGGGAGCACGTACGCAATGAAGGATTTATGGAGCTGTCCTCACCTTTTTACTCCACACAGAGAGCCTCCTGCTCCCTGTGATGCTCCATGACTTTCTAAAAGCACTTCCTGGTCTTTAAAATCTTTTATCTTCTGTGTGAAGGATTTGTTATGATCCAGTGGTTCACCACCATCTTAGAAATGAACCACTTCGGAGATTTAACCACATTATCTCAGCTCATACATACTCTGCCCAGCAGTTATCCTCCCAGAGATGTGTTGCAGTGATTAGACCAAAAATTTCCATCCCATAAGGTCTCTGAGATGGTGCACTCCTGATTTGCATTTACCACAACCTTGATGCACATTTTGTGCTGCAGTATAAACTATAGACATGAGTCCTTTTTTCCAGTTTGACCTTTAAACAACCTAGCATGAGGACGGAAATATCACACAATGAATAGAGCTTATGTGAGTGAAGCTAGCACTGAGTGCCAAGTGTTGAGTGCCAAAAAAGTTAGAGTTATTTTATTTAACCTAGTACTGACAAGTACAAAAATGCTTAGTAAGTTTTTATTTTACCCCTATTTAGCATTCACAAGCAGCATGTACACATTTAATAATAATAATAATAATAATAATAATGTTATAATGGTTACTAACACACTATAATGTAGTCATATATAAGGTCTTTTTGATTGTAGTCATCAATAATTTTAAATCCTCATGTGAAGAGAAACATAATAAATGCCATTATAACACAGATGTAATCATACAAAATATGTCTTCACAGGAAAAGTTTTATTATTTGAAAATACTACACAATAATAAAAACTTAGAAATGCCATAATGTCTGCTTAAAACTACATAATAGTGTTACCAAATAACCGAATTACGTTATAAATTATGTTAGGGGTGGGTAAAAATATCGATTCATCAATGCATTGCAATATATTTTTTCCCAATTCAATATCGATTCATTAAATCCTCTGAATCGATTCAAGCCCCTGGCCAGTGGGGGCGCAGTGAGTAACACCTTTGTGTGATTTGCGTTGTACAGTTGGAAGCCGAACTATACCACACAACAACAACATGGAACCGAAGCAGGTAGCAGCAGTGTTAAACCAGCACCTTCAACTTTAAAAGCAGACGTTTGGAGTCATTTTGGATTCCAGTGTAAACCCAGAACACAGGAAATAGACCAAAGTACGGCAGTGTGTAAGCTGTGCCAGGCACTACTAAAATACTGCAATAACACAACAAATTTGCGCAACCACTTAAGCCGACACCATGCAGATGGGAAAAAATATATTGCAATGCATTGAAGAATCAATATTTTTACCCACCCCTAACACAGAGGTAAAGACAGCGGTTTTGGAGTCGTTGAAGTCGGCTCTGAATCGATATAGAAGTATTTAAATCAATATCGAATGTGACCTAAAGAATCAAAATCGAATCGAATCGTGAGGTTCTTAACAATACCCAGCCCTAAATTATGTGGTGTTTAGTCATGATACAACAAATGAGAAAAGGTTCTTAGATTGACCTTATAGTTCTGATTAAAACAAAGAAATTTAGAGAAATAAGATGAAGGATTCTGACTTTAATCTCTCAATTCTGACATTCTGTCAAAAAACTGACTGCTTAGATCATGAAATTAATCTCAGAAATCAAAGACTTTTGTACAGAGCCCAGCAAGATGAATTGAATTTAGTTTATTTTGAAAAGTTCCTGCAGTACACTTCCTAACAGAAAGAAAATCGCTCCTGGTCATCTTTACGCAGGGAAGGCTGGTCCTCCTCCAAATTACTCTAGTCCTCCACTCAAGTGCTGCTTACTACGGAGTTCAAGTCCTTGCAGCCGGGATATGTGATACCTGGATTATAGTAAACACCCACTTCGTCTGCCTTTAGAGCACATGTTGAGCAGGATTAAGGCCTGTGCCAGTTGCTGTGAGATCTCTCTGTGGGCCAATGAGACTTGTCCCGCCGCTCCTAATCCTTCAGACAATGCAGGCTGTTAATTGGAGACTGACTGATATAGCAAAGGCGAGTCATGAAGACAATGTGCGAGTGGCCAGCTCCTCTGTAATCCCCTGCACTCTGAGGAATGTGGCAGCCATCCATACTTCACCAGATCTACTCCAAGTCCCAACCTCCCACTCTGGGCTTTTCCATTTTACTGACAGTTAGACCTACTGGTTTTCTTTCAGTATAACAGACACAAAGAGAGTGATTTTACAGAGTTGTGAAATGTCACATACTCCACTGATGGGAAGTGCAAGAAAGCACACCCACGTGTTTGTGTTTTAATCAGCAGGTTAACTGCTGTTAACAGTTTGTACGCCAAGCATAAGTGTTTCCTGTCATTCCACCTTAAGACAGGGGTGAAATGAGTATGTAGTATGGATTACATGTATATATAAATATATTGTTGTTTTGCGTTTCTTTGCGTCTTTGTCATAATTTTGCATTACGTTGTCATCATTTTGTCTTTTTAGTCATGTAATGTAATGTTTGCATCCTTTTCAGTCATCTTAGGTTTCGTTTTAGTCATTTTGCATCCTGTTTTGTGTCTGTTTGTGGTCATTTTGTGTCATTTAATAATCATTTTGCATCTCTTTGTGGTCATTTTTGTCCCTGAGGTCATTTATTGTCTATTTTTAGTTGTTTACCAAATGTTATGTTCATATAGAGCTCTGGTCCAGAGTCTCTGGGTGGGTCTGTTCATTAATCCATCCATGATACAAACAAGCCAACTTCTTATCACTCTCTGACTCTGGTTTAGGGCAGGCACCGGGGGGTGGCCAACCAGATTCCAGGGGGGACCCATGCAACCCCTCTGAACCCACTACTGCTCTGCCACAATTTCTTTGGTACACAGACATATTTAGTTGTAATGACAGCGTGATATACAGAACATCCTGCTGTGGGATATAAAATTAAAAGTTAAACTAAATGGGTGAGTCACTGCAATAATAAAACTCTTAACAGCTTTCAGCTCAGGCAGTTGTGTTATTACATGGGTGACAGACAGAACACCCCATAGTTTTTTATCCTCTCCCTGAGGTGAAAAAATATATATATGTGGGCAGAGAAGCTGCATTTCTCCTTAAGTATGACTCACAAAGTGAGACAGCCACAAGTCACTCAGGACGTTTATGTTTTGTAAACACTACATGATAGACATTTTGGATACTGGATCCTTTATCACTGGAAGATAATCAGCAACAGCCTCCAGTCATCTTTCACCATAGTTCACTGACAGTTAGGTGGTCGACCAACAGTGGAAGTGTGCAGTTGGATGTTTGTGTTCTTGTAATCTCTCATCTGTTGCCACACCATACATATGCAAAACAGTTTTACTGAAACCATTTCACAGCTAAGAGCTGAACGACAGACCTTTTGAGTCATGAATCAATCATGATTGACTTCTTAAATAAAGACATATCTGTTAGTGCTGTTCACATAGGGAGAATTACTGAAATACCTCTCTTAAGTAAAAATAACTCAAAACATACTCACTGAAAATGTTACTTTAACCTTTTTAATTGATTCTGAAACAGAGTATAAATTGTGATGCCTCTGGAAACGGCGGGAAACAGCGAGCCTGGTTCTGTCCAGCCCTAACAAAATCTGCCTACCAGCATAATTTGCTGTTTTAAGTTGGATAACGGCATAGAAATAGTTCAGTTTGTACGGAATAAAGGAACTTGTGCTTATAGTTGTGAACTGAAGTAATAAGACTAGGCACTGATTCACTCTACTACCTGTTTTACTAATGCTGTCATTATAAAGCCATATTTAGTGTCTGATGTGGTTCCTCCTCTCTGTCAAAGATCTGTCCTTCAAACTGTCTCCCTGCGCAGGATGAAGACTTGGCCTCAGCTCAGGGTGTAAATTGAAATGCTTATAGCGTACACTTAAGAGCTCAGTCTGACTGTATTTATTATTCTGCAGCTGCTGGTATGGGAACAGACATAATTGCAATAGCAAACGTTAAGGAAAGATAAACAGTAGGAAACCAGTGGGACAGTAATCACAAGTAACAACCGCCATTCATTCAGTTGCTCAGAGATACATTGGTATGTTTGAAGGATTACTGATGCAGGGATATGAGCTGGAGGAAATGATTTTAGGCTCATTTTAATCTTATATACCTACTTTATGTCCTCACATTGCAATATGCAGGTGCAGACTTCTTACTAAATCATAGTCACCCTTTTATGTATGTTTGTGCGTAGTGTACATGTTGCTTCAGGTAGGACTTAGAAAGTGTACAAGTGACAGTTTTGAGAGTCTGAGCTTAAAAAGAGTAGAGACGGATTAGACCCACACTCAAATGATTTCTTTATGTGAAAACCTCGTACTCTTTTGCAGGAGAAGATCAAACTGCTGCTGATCCGATTACTGTTTGCACATTCACAGCGCGCCAATTTAATAATACAAGAGTTTTATACTAAAGCCACATGCCCTCTTTTCCCATGGGTGCCGTGCCAGAGGAGAGATCTCTCTCTTCCTCTTTTTAGTAAGCTGAGAGGAGCTGATCAACCATTCGCCGCTGAGTAAATGTTTAAAGCTACCAATCAGACTGCTTTGATTGTTGCATTTCTTGCAATATATGATTTGAAACTGAAATTTATTGGAAACATTTTATGAGTCAACAGAGAGAAGACAGATGACTGATGTTTGAACATGAGTTTTAGATACATAAAAGACTGCCGTTTTTTCCCACTATACATTTCTGGAAAGCAAAGCTGTGATTATGGTTTGTGGTGGGGATGTTTGCTCCAAGTAATTTGTCTCCCATGCAAGGCTTTGGTGATGGATCTTCAGCTCTGTGTCTGCCAGAGTTCATTCAGCATGCGCTTATGCAAGTTTTTTTTAAATTGTATAGTATGCTAATGTTTTAAAAGAAGAACCGGTATTCTGTCTTTTCGTCAGAATTGTATACAGAGTGTAAAGTCCTGTCTGGCAGCTTTTTTAGACCTAACCCTTAAAATAATTGAGATAATAGTTTTTTTCTCCCCATGTTGAAAACCTTGTATCTCCAATTGATGATGACACTAATGTGTTAATATTTAAGCAGCATTTTAATACCGAAGCTGGCTGCTTGGGTGCTAATTTGACCTGTTATATACACTGTTTCTACAGTTATCCTAGCTGCTTTAATCTATTGTATAAAAACAGTGCATTATAATATGCTTGTTATCAGAAGAATGATTAACTTGTAGCTTAGTACAATATTTCCACGTGTCAACTGGCATAAAACCTCAGAATTCCCCTCAAGGAAATGTACTTAGTCACTTTCTACCACTCATGAAACCGTTTACCATTTCACATTGTGAGAATGGCATATTTTTCCTAAGGTTCTGGCAGAAAGTTATATATAACGTAACCAGATCAGTCTTGTATCTGTCATTTTAAAAAGTAGCTAGCTCTCTCCAGCTGTAACACCTCTGGAAACTGAAAAGAGCCAGGCTAGCTGTTTCCCCTTATATCAATCTTTATGCCAAACTAATCGGCTTTTGGCAGCGCTGTTATTTTTTTAAATGCAGATCTGAATCTAAATATTTCCTTAAACATTAAGTAAGTAAAAATATGATTATTCAGAATATTAAATGTATCATCTGGAACTTGAAGACAGACAAATAAAAACATGACCAAATATGTAAACTTTCTCAGTGGTTATGCACTTTTATTCAAAGTTTTAGGTCCCACCGTGGGTCCCATGGTAGTTAATACCAGGATCAGCTCATAATCCCTGAGAAGCCAGTATTGGGAATGAACTGTTCAAACCCTCCAGATACTGGAGAATAAACACCACAGTCATTTAACACAGTTCAAAGCAGTACAAAAATCACGCCCAGGTCATTAAAAGCGTATGTAAACCACATATGGGGAAATTACATTCTAAACATTATACAATCACTACAAATTTAAACAAAGGCACAGTATACAATACTGTAATCAAGATGTACAGAGTAACCCAATATGGGTAAGAGACAACACAGAGGGAACACCTCCATGTGGAAACACTGATGTTGCTCTTGTTAAGTTCTCACCTCACAGGCCTCAACAGTAACCAGCCAGTATTATGTGTAAATAAAGAACAATAATGTTAATAATAACAGAGATTCACATCAGTCTTTTGTGCAAACTATTATAGACTGTGGCTCAGATTACACAGGTGGTTATTATTTAGATGCCATTGATTCAAACTGTTCAAATGGCTTTTTATCCACGCTAAAAGTCACTAATTCTCCACTGTTGAACCTTATGAGGTGAGCGTCTTTCCAGGAGCAAATATCAGCTCATTTGAAACTCAGCTGTGCAATTTTTAACCAAAAACAAAAAAACTTTTCAAAGCAATTCGAAAGCTGATTGTTACCCCCCAAATCAAAATCTCTTCCACTCATTGTTTTTCCCTGATTGTAACAAATGCAAGGAGTGTTATTAAATACATAAGAATGAATAGATATTGAGATTTTGAGGGGTTTTTTTTTGTTAGTTTGGACACAAATCTGAAGCATATCATTAAAGGACGTAAATTAGGTCAGTTCGCCAAAAAATATCAAAAAGTGCTTTGTCCTGATATACTTCAGATTAGATCACCTAAGGATGCATTTGGAAATCCGCCTACTGCCAGCTCTGGTTGTTGGAGAAATAACACTGTTTACTTAAAAGCACAATAATATCTTCATATTAGAGCATTTGTCCGGAGTCATAGGAGTTAAAAGATAAGAAATAAACATGCCTGAAAAAGCCAATTATATGTGATAAAAGCCTACAAACAAAGACCTGTATGGCTTTGTATTTTTAAAAGCTAAAACAAAACATAAATGTTAATATAAAGCTGGCAAAGGTTTGAATATATGACAATACATTCTATGAGAATTGCAGATACATTTACAAGCAACATATACATCACAAAGCTCAACTGATTGCCTGCAAAGCTTAACGCTGAAAGCTACTTCCTGCCGAGAGCTGGAGTCCTCTTATGGGACGAGGTCCTGGCACTGGACAGGAAGGAATAGTCCAAAGGCGGGCCGCACAGCAGCCCAGTAAAACTATTAAAGACCGCACACAACTGCAGCAAGAATACAGCAGCCGTGCGGTCTAATACCAAACACTGGTCCCCGCGAGCCTTTCAGATACCGAGGCACGACGGGGACGAGGATGAGAAAGGAGCAGTTGCCCTAAAAGGCAACCTGGGGGGGACACCATGGGGTGTCTGGATACAGGAGACAGTGCACAGACTTGAACCTGGAAGACAGAAAAAAGAGGGTTAGAGTTAGAGTTTGCTGAAATGTGTTAAAACTGAGATTAAATCGGTGTCACATCATTAAAAACAGAACAATCTCTCACCTTGATGGATCCTCCTCCACAGGAAAAGCCCCTTTCAAATTAATGATGTTGCTCTTATTTTCAAACATTCCATAACTTAGAGTGATCTGGAAGAAAAATTACAGTAAAAACATGAGCAACGTAGCAAAAACACAACTCTCACACTGATTCATGACTTCATACTGATCATGTATTTTTTTTAAAAGATGAGCTACAAGTGTCTCACCTGCTTGTGAATTTCAGATCTTGACACTTGTTGCAGGTTCTCCAGGTGGGAGTGAAACAGGTTGCTGCGGGTCAGAGGAACCCCCAGAACCGACTCGATGATGTAGCCGATGGTGCAGTCGTCGGGCAGGCGGATCTTCTCCGCTGTGTTCATAAAGTGGCCGCCACTGGAAAGACAAAAAAAATAGACAAGAAACCTGGTTAGAGTTTATGTGACACAACTACTGGTGGCCATTTTGTACTTAATGAGCATTTCTAAACATAACCTGGACAATCTTGCCCTCGTTGTCTTTGTAATAAGGAGCTAATTCTCTTTTATTTTGAAATGCAAACAAGGACATTTCCCAGATTGTGACTATTGAGACAGTTTTTGCCATTCGTATCCTCTCCGTCTCTACCTTAGCATAATAATACGAGATGTGTGTAAATGTGTCTCACCTGGCCCATGGGCTCATCTTCAGTGCCAGACCCCGGCTCACACAGAAGCCGGCTCCTCCAGTAGCAAACCAGAAGTTGACTGGTTTCTAAAAAAAGACACAGGAAAAGTTTGTTAATAAAAAAAATAATGTACAGTTATCTGAGAAATAACCTGTATGATCTTCAATATAGCAAAACAACAAAGGATTTTACGACATACCATCTTATTGTCCCCCAGCCTCTCTGTGGCCTCTATGGGCCGGTCCAGGCTGGGTTTTCCGAGGTACATGTCCTGGGTGTGGGGGTACTGGGACAGGAACTTCACAAGAGTCCGAACATTCACGTAATTGTCATCATCTACATGACAGAACCACCTAAGAGGCAGAAAGAAGAATGATTAGATCCTGTAATATTCAGACTAATAAAAAGTCTAAATAAATATAAGTGTAAGTGATGCTTACTTTTTTCCCGACTCTATGAACTTGTCATATTCCACCGCCATCTTGCAAGACAGAGCTTGTCGGCTATGAGCTGCAGAGCAGTTGGTGTTGATTGCGTGACTTCCTGTGGGAGCAATGAAAGGAAAGGAGGAATTTTAGTTAAAGATGACAACCATCAATGGAGGCTCTATGTATTTTAATGCAATCTTTCAGAGGCAAAAAGTTCAAAGCTGAATTTTAATGGCTTTAAAAATGTGATTCTGTTTCTCATAAATTCAGAGTTGGCCCCATTTCTAATAAAACAATGTGCATCTATGTTCCCAGTTTTTCATTCCCATCATTAAACTTACCAATTTTCTTCTTTAGCTCCTCATCTTCTCCGTCTGTGAAGATGTAGGTCTGTAAACAAACAAGGGACATTACAGATAAGTGGACTTGGTCTTTAAATCCATAAAATCAAAATGACTTTGGATGATCATGTGGAGCGGTCACACGATCAAATTCAACAGGGTGTCCAAAGTCCTCCCTCCTCACATCCAGCCCGGTGTGATTAGCATCAATCAACATGTCTTTTATGCAGTGGAAAACACAGTGAGTTAAACAACCCCCGGCTCAAATAAAGGCCTTTTGTCCGGCGTTATACTCTCTCCATGGCAACTATGCTGCCGCCCCGAAGCATCCCAGACATAGAACAAAGCAGGAGGCAGACTGTCCGCCCCCACGCACACTCCATTCATGTATCCCATCCCCCGGCTGAGCCCCTTCACTCTGCTGGACCTGCTGCCAGGCTTCAACGTGTTGAATGCACTTAAAACAGTAGCATACAGATCTGACATACCACCGACACAATCCTCTGCGTGCTCGCTGCTTTATGACTGACTGACTCAAGAATCAAACCACAAGACTGCAGCCGCTTGTTAAATGTAGCAGTTACTCATGAAAGGAGTTAACAATAGAGGGCACCTTAGGAACACACTTTAAAGGGAGCAGGGGAAGATTAGACTCCTCTTTATGATAGCTCACACTGAGCAGGTGCAAGCTGCTGAATAGTGATGATGAAAAGGCTGCCGGCTCTGGGCTTTGTAACCGCCAGTGGTCTGTTTACTCTTCACCTCAGGTGAGGCAGCACCTGCCGTACATCACGCTACCTTATCTAAGCCACGTGTCTCTACACGCCAGGTCGTGGTGCCTTAACCCCAACTGACAGAGCACCTTTTGTCAACCATAACACACATTCCTGCAAGTTCGCCACCCTGCGGCTGAGTGACTGCAATTTTGTGATGCGCATCTATAAACGGGCCCATGAAAGACACATCTTTCTAACCCGGTTTTCTTTCTTTTCTGCCTGAACTGTTTGCGGAACAAACTCTGAGCAGATGTAGCGCAATGCTAAAGCCATGAGCCTGTATTTGTTTAAGGAAGGGTGGTGGTTTCACTGGTGAAGGGATCAGAGGCTGGCGCTGTTTGCTTTAAAGCCCGTTGAATAGACAGCCTAATCACCGAGGCAGCTGCCAGAGCTGCCAGGGCACTGACAGAAAGGGAGGGAGGGAGGATGGAGGCGAGGGGGGGGGGGGATCTCACTGCTGATTAGTAAATCGAAAACCGTGTGTGGCCATTCACCCCCACTTCACCCCCCATCCTGCCTCCCCCTCCTCCTCCGGGCCGTGAGCCTCTTGAATAGAACAATGCTGTGAGTTTTCATGCTGGGTAAAGTCTCCACTGGGTAAATTCTAAATATGTTTGCCAGCATTTGCATACAGCTGCAGGAGTTAACTAAAGAGAAACCTCCAGAGGGAAGGTTTTTTTCTTCTTCTTTGTTTCTTAACTGAAACTTAAAAGAACAGTTACTTTCGTAGAATACTAATTCATACAAAAAAGGAAAAAGTATAAGAAAAAATGGCTGTGTGTGAAGCAGAGATAAGAGGCGAGGGGGTACAGGGTGAGGAGAAGTGGGAGATGAGAGCAAAGAGGGGTGGGGACGGGGGGCTGAACTCCTGACCACAGGAAGGCCTGGCACGGCCCTGTCTGAGCTGAACGTGGTGCCTGGCTGACTGTCTCCAGCTCCACGGGAAGGAAGGGCATCAGGCTCCCCTCCCTCCATCAACTACTTCCAGCCTTCTGTGCCAGAAATTCAAAGCATTTTGAGCACTTTCTTTTTATCAGGACAAATGATTTGGACATCAGAGTGCTAGAGTGACTGCAGCGGGGACCAAGTATAGACAGGCATTGCTTTTTAACACCAGGCTGTCCTCTTGAATGACTACCACCCACTTTCTGGCTTCTTGTACTTTTACTACATCACATTGAAGCCATCTGATTAACTCGACTACAGCGCCAAGTGCTTTTCCAAAATGCTAAAAGCTCTCATTGTTGCAGTGCTGGCTAATTATCATACTCTCAAATGAGGAATGCGTGGCACACCGTGAAGATGTAGGTGCCAGCTGCAAAATGAATTTACGCTCTACGTGCCAGTTTTACAAATCAATTCGCCGGTGATCAACAATCTGAAAGGGGAAGTACTGTGATCCATTTTGCTCTTTTGTTCTATGACCCTGCTCTGAAGCTATGTTGTTCCAGTGTGATTAATGAGGAAACAGGAAGAGGCACTCTACATGAAAAGGTTATATAACTTGAAAAAAAGAGGCTTTGTATTTCAAAAGCGACAATTTACAGATAAATTGCATTTGGCAACAATGGGAACCTTCATATAAATACACTGGTTGGATTTACACATAAAAATGCTACTTGTGCTCTGAATGGGCTCAAAGATTAAGAAGGCCACAGGCACTATTGTGTCAACACAGCTATCACAGAGATAATCTACCTCCCTGTTCTCATGTAAACAGCAACAGATAGCAGCTCCGTCTGCATTCGAGTGAAGAGATCTCACTTAAAGTAGAAAAGTAACAGCACAGTCAGAAATAATAAAAAAAGTACTCTAAACCGGCTTTTGCAGAAATAATACTTTTGTCCCTTGTGTCCATACTGCTACAAAAGTGATCCAAACTCCACAGATGTTCACCAGCTGAGCGTGAGAATAGAACCTGAACATGGAGGATGCACCATATGTACATGGTGGGAACTCAGAGCATCATATGGCTGGCATTAAGGCCATCCTTTGTTCTGTCTCTCCTGACCACCTGTCACCCTTCCTCCAGGAACTCCCTCTTGTATTGTGGGCTCAGTCTGTCCTTTTTGTCCACGCAACCACCCACCAGCTGCCTGCCTATAAGCCGTGCTGTTAACTCTGTCGGATGGGTTAACTAACATCAACCTGTACAGTGATTACAGCCAATTAGCAAAATCGACTCACATTTAGGCAGATGTTGTAGCGCATGATTGTGAGCTGTGCATGTAATTCTGTCTGATCGACCTGTTATTATTTTCCTGGCATCAAACACATCTCGAGAGAAGAAACCTCTCTCCAAACTTTACTGGTGCTTGAGATAAAAGACAGAGACATGGTTTTAAGAAGAGAAACCCTGTGTGACAGCGCCCGAGGCAAATTAAAAAGACTTTAGAGAAAGCACATCCTTGATGCAGGATAAAATCACTTTGACTAGCTTTCTCCACACTATAGCCGTGCATGTCTTTGTGCACCCTTTAGAGGAGCTTGGTTCTCAAGGCCACATACTCAGCGTCCTGCTTCCCAGCACAAACTTGCCTATAGATGCACCCCCTTTGTCCATGGCATCCCCTTAACGAAGCCCCCGTTTTCCCATCCCTCCAGTAAGCTTGACCCAGACTCAGCTCCCACGTTCCCATGGAGAGAGGGGAGACAAGGGGCTGGGAAAGCTTTTCTTTCCCCTTCAGAAAGACGCTTTGTTAGTCCTGGAAGGGGGACAGCGATGGAGTCGGTGCTGTGAAGCATCCATTGCACCGGGGGCATTCACAGGGACACCCAAAAAGAGGAGGGATAATAGAGAGTGGGGAGAGAGGGGGGCTGAAAGAGGGAAGAAGAGGGAGTCCTGAAACTGCTCCCTCCGTTCTCAGGGACATCACTCAGAGGAGAATAAAAAGTGACAGAGCCGAAGAAATTCAGCATGGTTAACAGGGGTTGTGTGGCTATTTCAGAGTGTCATCTGGTGACAAGGGGAACAATGCAGCACTGTAAGCAGCCATCCAACAGGCATCACCTGCATGTGTACACTAGCTTATTGTTCAGATCAGGCTCAGCAACAATGATCAGCCCATAAACAAGCAGATCATTTCCTAAACCTAATCCTATCCTAATCTAAACTCTCAGCTTAATGCTTGCTCAGTGGCTATTTGGTGCATGAACAAAACATGAATTCATTTTGCACTTTTCCTTTACCTGCTGCATGTTTCTTGAGATCCATGTGTCCAGGAGCAGGTTCAGCCTGGACTGGTGGAACTTCTTGGTGGTCTTCACGGCGATGAAGATGTCATTGGCATTGATGTCCTCAGCTGGAGGAGGGTCAGCGGTGGACGCGGAAGAGCGTGGGGGCTTCTCCACCTCCCTCCGGCCCCGGGTCAGTTTGGTGAAGTACGCGGAGAAACCTCTCTTGACCTGCGCGCTCCCGGGTTGCGCGTCCTCCTCCTCCTCCTGCTGCTGCTGCTGCTGGAGGAGAGAGCGCGTCCCGGCGTCCTCTCCGTTCCTCTCCTCATCCACCTGAACCCGGTGATGCTGCACAGCAACCAGGAGCAGCAGCAGGCAGATACATGCTGTGCTGGCTACAGTGATAGCTGTCTTCTTTCCATTATTTTTCAACATGATTAAACCTATAAAATTAAAAAAAAGACTAAAGAAAACTATGAAGCGGTGCAACGATTCCCCAAAGCAAAGTCCATATGGTATTTTTTTTCCTCAATAGAGCACAAAAGTATGAATGACACGTCCGTCAGGGTGCATAGCTGAAGCAAATGTAAGTGAATTGCTATGAGGGAAAATATATAAGCTTCCATGCTGGCCACGCCTCATGGGAGGTCCTTGAATGCAGCATGCCAGTCAGTGACGCAGAAATGGGGCGTGGTCATAGCTATGTGCGTGCGTGTGTGTGTGTGTGTGTGGGTGTGTGGGTGTGTGTGTGTGTGTGTGTGTGTGTGTGTGTGTGTCACTTGCAGAGTTCAGTTTGGCTTTAAGAGATAATATGAGTAAAAGATTGACCCAAAGAAAACAAAACTGCAGGTGGTGACTTGGAAGGTTGTGTTTCAAACTGCACCTGCAGCCTTTCTGTCTGTGACTCTAACATATGGGGTAATACAGGAATAAAAAAGGTTTTCCTCCAGATCTAAATTTGCAATCAGACTTTAGGCTTTTTGAATTCAGCCTAGTGTGAGCTGGGTGTTCACTAGAGAAACAGCCTCTATTGTTCTTCACTGACCTTGTGAGGACTCTAAACAGTTGGCCATTCCTGAACACTTGTTATTCAAATTCTGGCTCTTACAACTGAGTGCCGTCTGGCGCTGGGACGCTGACCAAAAGACATGAGTTCCATTTGGACCAACATGCAGCTGGTGGTGGAGCCTCAATAACCCCCTGACTCTAGGCAACCACCAGATTTAGACTGTTAGGTAACACATGTCTGGTTAAACCGAGATCTAAAAGACCATCTTCATGTTCTCTGCCAAAATCCTTCAAGCCGAACTGCCTTATCTTTAGGCGTTTAACAATATACAAAAGATTGAGGATAAATCTTTTCATTTTTTACAAAGGCAGCTGAAAGCACAGATGATTTTGGTCTCAATCCAGATATTGGGTTATATCACCTTTTTGGATAAGCTCCCTAAAGTCAATGTTGGTTTTTAAGGTGTATGAGGGCAAAGGCTGAATCACACCCTTCATATCTGTAATAGATTTTCAACACATCCTGCTTCTCTAGCTAACTCCTCTGTCTTTACTTGCAGTTGCAGTAGAAGGAGAATTATTCTTCCAAATGATCTGCACGAGAAAAAGTTATTTTCCCCTGCAGGTGTTTCATTCTTTTTAATTCTGGGACACACAGGACATAAGTTACCTCTCTGCTTTGTTGCTCCTGACAAGGCCTTTTGTTCACCTTTTAAAAGTGTGCATAGAAAGGCGTCTAAAAGAAAGTATAAGAAACCAGGCAGAGGGGGTTGTCTCTGTGGCCTTCATTCTTCTTAGATCAACCGCCTCTTTCTGCCAGGCTTGCAGGGCATTCGTCCCACTTCTGAAACTCTTTTTGGTCCTTTGGACTTGTGAAAACAATGACAGTTGTTAAAATGGCAAGTGAAAGAGTAAAGTTCTCCTGTCGTATTAGCTCCAACCTCCCCCTCAGTTCACAGTTTATTTCAGCTTTTTGCTCCCTCCACTGACAGAAAAACCCTTTCTTGTCCCTTTTGAAATCACCCCACAACTCCACCTCATCTGTGAGCTCCACCCTGCGACATTACTGCTGAATACCAGTGAAGTTACATCCAGTTTCTTCAGCAAAGGCCACTTCCTCGCCATAGCGCCCACAAATAAATACCACAATGTGCATGATTTCCCCCCCTGATGGTATCAGCATGTTGGGGGATCTGAGAGGGCTGCTATTTATAGTTCTTGCTTTTACAAAGTTGATTACATATGATGGACAGGTAAAGACTCCCAGCTTGCACTGTTACCAGAATGTCACAGCCCCCCCACAACTGTCCAGAATACATCAATACAGCAGTATCTCTTTTTATTCTCTGATACACACCACAAAAACTGAAAACACATGTGTGCACTCGGCTTTCTAAGATTTGAGCTTTAACTTGATACTCTGTATATAGATCCAACGCAACATGGAAGACATTAACTCAAAGCCACATCTTTCATTTTTATTTTATATTTCAATCTGTTTAACATTCCTCAGGATGGTTCCCTGAATGTTTCTGCCCTTTTGAAGCTTTTTGTTTATTAGTTACTGACTCAAATATGTAGCCACTGGATTCCAGTCTTTCATATTATAATCGAAGATACCGCTGTGCGAGGTCAGCTAGCTGAGTCTTATATCTCTTGCACATTTAACTCAGAATCTTGGATCATATTCTTAAAAACTTTTTTCACCTTTACTGCTCCGTAATATCAACTTATATCCATATCTCATTCTTTCGTAGTGTCACATATTTTAGTGCACTCACGTAAATGTGAAAAGTATTATAACTGCACTGTAAAACATCATACAGGAATTCTATCTATTTATTTGTGTTAAATGAATAAACTAACAAGAGTTTACTCAGCTCACCAAATTAAGTCTTTAGTGCAGAGGAGATCTCAAACTTTTTCTGGCATGCCTCCTTTCAGAAGCCAAAAACAGTTCACAGACCCACCAACATACAATTTTTATCAATCATTAACAATGATAGGAGAAGCAGCTAATAAAAAAGGGTCCAAGCTGGATTTTAGTGAGATAAAGCCCAGCACGATAGCATCAGCAAACTCTTGTTTGTTTATTTTTTATAAATAAGTTATTTTCACTCAACTTAGTTTCACTTTTGCCCTGGTCACCCCCCCCCAGTTTGAGAACCCCTACTCTATAGACACAAGATTAGCATATTAGCAGACTTCCCAGCATTCATTATTTGACTATTAAAACTCCTCACAGACCCTTTTTTGCACTTTAAAGAAAACAAACATGATGAACTCTTGAAGCACATGCTGAGATAAGTCAGGGTCGTGTGTGAACTAGTGCTATAAAAAGTTTAAAAGACTGTACTGGCTACCCTTTGAGCATCAGTAGATGGGAGGCAGGCGGTGGGATCAGTCTTCAGTTCTGTTTATTTTCCCAGTATGGACACACTAGCTCTGATGGGATTACAGGTCACACCAGAAGTGAGAGCCAGGGGACCGGGCGTCCTCCTCAGAACTCGGTTTTAGTTTCCCTGCTCATGCAACATTAGAGGAAAATCTCCAAGGACCATGGCTGAGAATGCTTCAGCTGCTCGAGAGACAAATAAATATGACCCATTTTTCCCATAAGGCTGAATGGATTTCCTCCAGGTAAACACAATAAACTGGTATGACAGAGGCATCGGATCCTTAATTGAGATAAAAGGATAGTTTCATGAATAAAGATATGCAAAAAGCTGCACAAACTCTTTCTTGAGTATCAATACTGATACAATACGTTGTGCTATCATGCTGTGGTGGAGCAAGAATTCAGAACCTGTACTAAGTAGCAGTACTGCAATTTAAAAAAAATCTCAAATTTAAAGGTCCAGTGTGTAACATTTGGGAAGATCTTTTGGCAGAAATGGAATATAATATTCATAGATATGTTTTCATTTGTGTATAATCACCTGAATATAGGAATCAGGATGTTACCTTAGAATGAGCTGTTTATATCTAGAGATATGGAGTGAAGGAGGTCACCGCGGAGGCATTCAAATTTTTGCGTGTTTTGCAGCCACTGTAGTTTCTCCTTCGTGTTTAGAGGGAGAGAGCAATGCAACCGAGTTGCCATCTGCAGTCATATATTTAAAATGTCACCTAATTAAAAGTATGAGAAAAAAAATTTAGTGGAGTAAAAAATACAACATTTGCTTCTGAGATAAGATTGAAGTAGAAGTACTTGAAACATGTACTTATGTAAGTAAATGTATTTACTTTCCACCACTAGTATCATGACCATTATGATACTGCTAAACCCTGACAGAATCTCAGACGCAGAGAAAAAACCCCAACAACCATTCAATGAAAACATTGTATCCTCATACTTGGTGATTTAGATTTTTGCAAATAAACTGAAGGATTGCATTGTCACAAAGCCAAGTACGGGGTTGATTTTCTAACTGAAAATGGTCACCCAGGAGCTATAAGGAGTGTCAGGTTACATTCTGGCATGCCTGGACATGTTGAACATAATTTCTTTTATTCAGTAATAAGCTCTATAAACCAAATGTTACTTGTCATTGTCTGTGAGTCACTCAGAAATATCAGCTTTGTTAAATCAGATGCATTCTTGTCACATACCAATTGCCTTTGTTTCACAACAGTGTGGACTTTTCTACACTGTACAAAACCACTTATTGTTGCTGGAAACAGGATATTCACTGGAGACCCTTCAGGTTTATATTTCCACTAAGAGCTCAATAAACTCAAGGGACCCCTAAAAGCTGCTGACAACTTTGACTTATTTCCATATCAGAGTTTAAATTGTAAGAGGTTGGTGGTTGTGTGTCCTTAAAAAAAAGCCTGTGAAAAGCTCTGTTGTTTTGGGTTAAATTGCCATTTTCTCAATCAATACATTCTCTTTTTGTCTGTGGCTTGTAGCTACCTTGCTGGGACATACAATGGGAGGTCAAGCAGACAAAGAAAAGACACTGGAGTCATTGAAGTACTTTTAATAGTGTGTTGTGTCCTCTCATAATCAGGCCCTTTCTCATTTAAATACATTTAATGTGTTAACCATTGCAGAGGTAGTATGCATAATCTGATTTGTTTTTAGCTATAATCACAGGGCATTATATGTAAAGAGCTTGTTGCAAATACAAAATCACCATGTCAGAGTTAGTTGACTTTTGATTTGTTAGAGGATGTATCGGTAGCAATAAGGTTTACTCTAAATGTCTTGGCTAAATAAACACGCTCAGCGCTCTGAGGCGAGGGAGATCTTTGCTGCAGTGAAGATAGACTCTGCAGATCCAATGAAAACAGGAAATTCACGGCTGGTGGTTGATGTTGTATTTTTGAGTGCCCCCCCTTGTCATAATTGTTCCCCTTTTTTCACTCTCTTCTCCACAACCAGGCAAACACAGGCTATTTGCATAACTGTTCAGACCTGCTCATCACCCCCTGCTCCTGCCCTACTTCCACTCTGTCAGCCTAATGCTTCCCAGCACTCTCCCTTTATGCCGGCTCTTGTTGTTCTGGGAACATCAAATGGTCGACACATTAAATTAGGAGGACTTTAGTCTAGTCTAGTCTTTATA